GTAATAAAGACTTGTTTTCAATTAAACTAAAGTATTGTAACAAAAGCCCATGATCTCTAAAGAATATACATTTAAAATTATTTTATAGGCAAAAAAAAACCAAGTTGTGTATTTCATGTTCATACAACTTTTAATTTAATCATAATTTGTTCTATTTTTAATAAACTTAAGTATTAATTATTAACATGTATTTTAGATTAGTACCATAGTGATTAATTAATTATTATTTTTTATTTGATATTATATATTCTTTCAATAAAAAAATATAAAAAATATAAAAAAAAAATACTATGAAATATTTTATGTATGTTTATATTAATATTTTAAAAAATATTATATATAGTTAATAATCAAATATTCTTTTAAAACCATAATAAATACTTGATAAGTTGTAAAAAAAAAATTAATATTTATATCAAAAACAATTATGAATTTTATTAAAATATGAAAATAAAAATATCCTACTAGAAAAATTATTAATTAACTTTATGATGAATTTAATAAATATATTATATTATTCGTATTATTTTAAATAAAATTAATATTTTAGAGTATTAAAAATAATAAGGTGATTATTAAATAGAATATGATTTATTAAAAATACAACATTACAAGCACAATAAAACATTGATGTATAAAATATTTGGTGGCATTTAATATTAAAAAAATATCAAAAAATTTATAAAATATTTTGGTAGTTATTCTCAAGTATCAATCTAATATCGTTGGCCTTGTAAGTTGTTATTTTTATTGACCATATAATTTCAATCCATATCTATTTTAAATAGATTCTTTGATAAATATATATATATATATATATATATATAATAATGAATTTTATTAAAGATTTATAAATCTCAAATTTTCACAAATTCATTTCTATAGTAGTAGATCTCCTAATCAAAATGGTAAGTACTATACATTCTTAAAAGTAATATTGCAAAAAATATATAAAATAAAAAAAACCCAATTTTTATTTTTAAAAATATATTCGAATATATATATATACTTATATTCAAATATCTAGATGTAATTTAATAATTATGAAATTTGCAAAGGATTTGGCTAATATTTCTCATTATAGATCCACATACTAATTATGTAAATGAAACTGTTTTATCCAAACAATGTCTTCTTCATGAAAAATTTCAAAGAATGTTGCACCAAAATCTTAAAACAAAGTCAATAATATGGCATGATTAAATTTTCTTAATATACATGTAAAGGTTGAACCATTTTAATTTTTTTTTAAATCAATCTAAGTGCTTTTTAGTTTATACTAAAATAAGGAATAAATTCTTTTATTTTAATTTTTTGTGTGTTAGTTCCATAAAATATTATAAAATAATCAATATATGTTAAAAAATTTAATTAAAAATAAAAAAACATTAGATAGCAGATATACCTTTTTTAAAATAATCTTTAAAAATATTATTTTAATATTTAATATAGTTTTATTAGATAGTCTTGGTGCTTGTTATTAAAGTGCAAAGTGGATAACACATGTATTTTCTTTTCAAATTTCTCAAGTACATATTTTGATTTTATGCTTGCATGAGTATAAAATATTATTGTCAATTCAGAATCTTTATCAAGCAATTTTATACACAATATAAATTCGTTATAATTTTATAGATCTTAGATTGCATTAACTTGTAAAAAAAACTGAAGTTAAACAATCTTTTGTTACAATCATACTTAAAAAAAAGAGCTAATATAATAAAACTCTGTACTTGAAAGGAAAAAATAAAATAAAATAAAAAGAAAGAAGAGAGAAGTAAGAAGTAAAACTATATATTAATAAATTGATTAGAGAACAGCTTGAATAAGTCTCAAAAACATTTATATACACAAATTAGATGTACATGTGCCTTGGGATGAGATACATGGTTAGAAAAGAAAAAAATCTTACATCTCAAAAGCTGTTAGAAAAACATCCTAAAATTTTGATATTTGACATAAAAGTCTTGTGGTTTTTAAAAAATTTCTACATGCTTTTTCTTTAATAAGTATATATAGAAGCTTGATTAAAGATATCAATATTTCTAGTTTTAGTCATTTCCAATAATCATATTAACACCTTTTCTTGTGATATATGTATATCTATATATATATATATATATATATATAAATGGTATTTTTCCTTTGTTTCAAATTTTTCATAAGTATGATTTATTTTAATAAGTTGGTATTAATATATATTTTTGATACTTTAAAAAATATAATTTTATTTATTTATTTATTTCTTGATAATGATTTTCTAAAGATTACAATTAAGTAATTTATATTAAAAAGATATATAAATATGTATAAATATTTATAATATCCATGGTGCAAAATATATTTACTTGAGAATCTAGTTGTCTAGTTTTCAAGAAAATATAGATAATATTCAATGAATTTGTAAAAGTGGTTTTAAATTTTTGAAACAAAATTAGACTAGAAGCCAAATTCTTAAATCACTTTAAATCAAAATATAATGATAAGAATTTTTCATAGGCTTTTTTTAAAAATTAGATTTTAAAATATTAATGGTTGTATTGATTTTTAAGTCCAGTTTCTTATTTTATAAGTGATTAGAATATTTATATATTTATGTAAATGATCAAGTCTTTTTACTTCTAATAAATTTAGTTGTAGCTTTATATTTAGGATTCTAAAAAGTATTTTCTATAATAAATTTAGTAGTTTAAAGTTGCCTAATTTCTCTAAAAAAATATATTATACTATGTTTAAAAAATATAGTACTGAATTAAATAAAAACCATTAAAATTACATTCTTTCTTAATTTGGTTTGTTGTAATAATACATCTACCATCTATTATATCATAATTTCAAATTAAAAATTCAGTGCTAAGTCTACATTTTTTTTAATACTTTATTTAAAATCACATTTAAGTGTAAAATAATTTTCAAATAACTAGACACAATTGCAACATAACTAGATAAAGTTTTACCTCATGACATGAGTAATATGAGAGAAGCAGACAAAGACTTGTAGAAATAATTTAAGGTACACATAAAATCAATTTCAAGCTAAGAAGGGTTGAAGTAGCTCTTTAAAAATATAAAAATCTCTACAACAAATGAAATTAAGGCAGAAACTCTCAAAAAATTATGAAAACAAAATAAGACGTAAACACCAAGTTAAAATTGATTCAAACTGAAGATTCAATAAAAAAAAGATAAAAGATGGATACACAAAAGTTTATTTTAAGGAATATAGAGACAAATGATCATTTTGAAAAATATCTAAACTAAAAGACCAAAAACATCACTCAATCCACAAGCAAACATATATTAAACAAGCACGCACTATATTTTATTTTACCTTCTGCAATAGCTTGCAAGTAACATTAATAATTTACACAAACTAATAATTTATAATAATATCTATTAAAGAAAACATCATCCATGCTATATATAAAACACTTACTAGTCTCTGTTAATAAATTCTACTGGTTGTTGTAATAAATTGGTTGATTCAATAGTCAACTTGCCATACTTAAAAATTAGTTGACCATCTCTCAAAGCACATTTTTTAAAATATTAAACTAATGTTATTTTAGTAATTAATTATTTTTGAAAATTCTGGTTGATATATAGACATGATTAAAGCAAGTCACTAATAATAGTTTTAATACAACTTCTAATTAGTACCTTATATCTTAAGGACATGAATCTAGACAAAACCTAAAAGACAATGCACTTATATATCACAATAAAAAGTAAAGAGAGAAGATATAAATATAATATAGAAAAGAATTAGAATGATTAATTTTAAATATTAAGAAAGAAAATTCTTTATTTAAGATTTGAATACAAGAAAGGCATTGATAAGCTTAAGAATATCCTCACTTTTGTTCCTATATATATATATATATATATATTACTAAGAAAACCTTGTAGAAGCTTTCTAAGGACCATAAGACTTGTAGCCTAAGCATCAAGTTATAGATTGCTTCCAATACAACTTCTTAAAAAATATAAACTTGTATAACAAGTTTTAATAGTTACATGACATTTCTATAAAAATTTAAAGGTCTAATCAATGTCTAAAAAAACTCATTGAAGTTTGTTAAAAAAGATATTATATACAAAGCATGTACTATCCACTTTTATTTATTCAAGTAAACTAGGCATCCATTTATATTTATAAAAATAAATATTGTAATTTTTAGTTTTTGTAAATTTAAATTTTTATAGTTTTTGTTCTAATATATAGCTCATATTTTTTGGTTTCTCTATTTTGTTTCATAATACTTTAGTTTGGTGCTTTGATATCTAGACCCACTTAAATTTAGTAGTATCTATACTTTATTTAAATTTTATTACTTATTCATATTATAATAAGATTTAGGATGTGCTTTCTTATTGCCCTGTGCCAAGTATTTTGCTAAATGACTACAACATGTTTTTATTGTCATTAAGTTTTTAATCTTTTATGTCTATTAATTCGGAATTATTGCATTAGATGGACCTAGTGTTATTCTAATGATATCTCCATGCTAATTGCATATGATATAATTTAAATTCGTCTTATAAATGGATTATCATGTTTTGATTGGGCCCGCACTGACCCACCAGAGCTCTGTGTCTGGCAGTGCCACAATTGCATCAAATCCAACAAAATATAAATTGTAGTATAACGTGATAAGACCGAGTCATTTGCTGGGCTACCATCATAATGGCCATGCAGTTTAGGGTTCCAGCAGAAGTAATAATAATAATAATAATAATAGCACATATATATATATTTTGAGGTAGATCTTGATAAAGTAAAGTTGTGGTTTCATAATTGATAATGAAAAGAAAGTTGACACGTGGGCGTATTGGCATGGGTTTCATGCTGGCCCAATCCGTTACTATTGCCAACTCAGCCATTCCAACTCGCCGAAAACTATTTCCAGCCACGTCAGATTCATATTCATTCATCCAATTAGAATCGATAGGCTTTCGTCGTAATTGATGAAAGTAGTGTAGGGCTTAAGGATTTCGACTTGCTGGAGGGTTTGTGTCGTCGCAGTTGGAGCTGTAGGGGGTTTGCCACAGCCAGGCTCAAGTTGAGCTTCACAGGATTACGGGCTTGAGTTTATCGTAATGGCCGATCGGCAGCTGGAGGCCAGTAGCAGTGCAGCGCCACGAGCGGGACGGAAAATGCCGCCTCCTTTCAAGGGGCCTAGTCCTCCAGGAGAAGGGAAGAAGATGGCCCGGAAATCACCGGCGCAGCTCATAGCTCACTACACGGCCAAAGGGATGGACGAGAAGGCGGCATCAGAGAAGGTGATTGAGGACCTCCAGAAGGCGCTGGCGTTTTCATTCCAGAGCTATCCTATGCAGAAGATGATGGTGATGGACAAGCAGTTGAGGACCAACATGGACTTGTTCACTCAACGGCTTTCAGTTATCGAGCAAAAGGTGAGTCTCTTTTCCGGAAGATATTTTTGCAGGGTTTCGTTCAACATTGTCTATCGTGTTGGTTAGTTTTCGGGTTGTTCCTGGATTTGTGAGACTGCTTAGGAAATCTTGGTATATCTTGTGTAAGAGATTAGGAGAGCGTATGGAGGGGATTTCTCTTGATTGTGTTTGGTAGCAAGGCTGGATATGTATATTCCTAGTTGCGCATGACAAGCACTGGAAGAATTAGAGTGTGAAATTAAGCAATATGTGCGTATTTATTCGCTGGAAAATTTGTATACGACAAGGTTCGATAGCTTTTCGTAGTCTAGAAAATTGCCGCTTGTTTTTATTACTTGCTTAAACAGTTACGGTCTAATTTCTGGTTCTGGGTTCCGTGTTTTTCTGTTGCTAGTTTTTCCACTTTCACCCTCTTGGATTTTGAAGTGTGGCATTCAAAGGAGCTGCATATGTCGCAGTTGATTACCCATAATTCCTTGACTTCTGAAGCATATCGTCCTGTAAATGGGTTGTCCACCGATGTTGCTTCAATACTGGAGTTGTGCTGTAAGAAAAGTTTTCCATTCAAAGTGCTTCATTCCTTCACGCTTCATAGCGGTGAATGAAACCTTGGTGAAATGTTCACAATTTGGGGGAAATTTATAGGTCAATAACGAATTGTCTGACTCCCGATTGGTCTCAATCTTGTAGATGCTGTCTAGTTTAAGATGTAATGATCAATATCATCTAGATTTATAATTCATTTATAACTCTGGATTCCCGAGGGAATTGTAAGGCTGCAAGTACAAATTGATTTTTTTTTAAAATTTTAAATTAAATTTTTTTTTTACCGATTTGATAATTGAACATAGTGCCAGACTACGGTGCAGAATTCTGGTCTCACTAATAACTAGCGGTGATTTCTGTTGGTTTAGTTCGGTATTGTTTGTTGTATCGTCGTTTATTTCTTCGTGCTTATGTGTCCAAAATTATGAGCAATTTTGATATTGAAATGATTTTCTTGTATTTGCTTTAGGTGGATTCAAAACCAACCCTACGGACAGTATTTGGAGCTGGAGTGGCTGCAGGAGGTCTGCTTAGGGTTATGTTCGACGGAGTACCTCATTTAATGCAAGCAGTGGCTCGGATTAGAAACGATGCCGCATCGGCCACATCAAGTTCAAAAATTTAGCTTAGTTTTTACATTCTTTTAATACACAGTAGATATGATCACAGCAGGGCTCAAATGCTAGGGTTAGTAGTCAACATGTCGGAGTGATTGCACGATGGAGTTTCATCGACTGGGGCCCAACTGGTCAGGTTGCTCCAACAGGATGCACGATGCGTGTTGGAGGGTATGTGCAAGGTTTTGCTCATCAGGTTAACGATGCGCAACTTAGTATTTTACGAGAGCTTTTGTTTCTTCTTAGTCGATGGTTTCTGTGTTTGACGTTATTCTTGTTACAAGTGACTGTGAAGGTACAACTATAATGCATTGTTTGGTGGGGTACACTTTACCGAGATACGTGTAAAGCCAAGCCGCACGAGATAAATTGATGGCATGACACACTTCTGAGTCACTGCAAGTCAGCTTCATAGCTACCGTACTTACATTAATTGCGGCATATTTTAACCCCAACATCTGACTTGACTTCTGTCATCCTCTATCTGGTTTATCTCTAACAATGTTGGAATGACGTGCACTCTGCTGTTACATATTGAACTGGCTTACATGAACTTCAGCCTACCTTGGCCATTTCATGTTTACAGTAGTGTCCACCAGAATTTGAATATGTCTTTTGGTGAAAGTCGGCTGAAGTAAAAATGAAGCTTCTGGGTCTAGCTGAAAGTCCGCGGCTGTAATATGATCATATGTGGGTGCTTAGAAAGAATGCTTCCAGAGACATATCAAGTTTGTGTAGCCAGATTTATCATGAAATACGTGTTGTATTTCACACTTGTAACATCTGAAAACTCAAAACTTTAGGAGACGAAACGCAAGGTAGACTACTGAGAATGAGTGCTGTGAACTTTTTCGCAATGCGTGGGTGACGAGGAAGAAGCTCTGCCTCACGTCGATATTGCTTCCTCTCTTAAGAAAACTTCCTCTACGCTTAGCTTTAAAACATCGTCAAAATGCACGCCTGGTGGACATCAATAGCCTTGAAGTTACGCCTACTTTTCGAGAGCGTCATCAAAACAATATCATGCAGGGCGAAATTGGCTGCTAAAGAACAAACGATTCTTCCTTCGTCTTTATGTTCTCAATTTTCATCTTCAGAGGTTGCATACCCAAGAACGTAGATTTCCCACGCGATCGAAGGGAAGAATGCCGCCACTTCTTGTCCTGACCAGTGGTCACGGAAACTGATGTGCGGTCATGGGCCTGGCTACTTACAAGCCACGCTTTAATGGACGAAACCCTAGATAGTGAGCGTCTACAGTCTCTTGGAATTCCCGTGGAGCAGATATCGTGAATCTGGGAAGCATCACTGTATCAAGATGCTGTGATTCTCTGAACCGACGGCATCGACATCCGCGCATGTATTTCACAGCGTCAGAGATTGAGGAAATTGCATTTTACGTTGACAATTGTACCAGTAGAGAAGTAACAATTCGCCTGGAGAGCATCCGGAAAATAGGTTCGCAGAGGTCGACGTATCAGGTGGTAAGTAAGAATTTCGCGGCATATCAATCGAGCCATGTTGTGCCTGAAGACATGTCTGTGTCATCATATTTGAGGTGTCTAGTCGGATTGCTTTCTTTGGACATCTCGAACGTGACTTGCGTGCTTGGATCTTTGCGTCCCTTTGCGTGTGTATTACATATTCTTCGGGGTCAAGAACAGGGGCTGCCCTGGAAACTGGACTGTTGGTGCCAGTCTTGTTGTAAGCGATCGGGGGCTTTCTGTAGAGGGTTTGTGTGTGGGGAGGAGGCGAAGTCGGGCGGAGAGCAGTGCGTCAAGGCTCTTGTTCTGGTTGTTGTTTTTTTTTTTTTTTTTTTTTTTTTTTTTTTTGTTTTTTTTGAGGGAGTTCGTTGCTATATGCGCGATCTGTCAGTTGTCTGTAGGGACTCTGTTGTGCTGCAGAATGTTTATTTTATTATAATCCGTGTTGTTGTTGTTGTTGTTGTTGTTGTTTTTATTTTTATTTTATTTTTATTTTTCGGAAATTTAATTTTCTTCGTTTGCAACGTTGGCGAGTATAGATCGGTAGTGAAATGCGCGTCTATCTGGCAGAAGACATATAGTAAGACCAGGACGATGATTTGTACTGCTTTGAAGTAGACCTGCCAGAATTCTTTGTTGTTGAATGTGAGCAACTCAAGAGTTTGTTGGAGGAAGTGCCATTACGTGCTGAACGGTGTCGAGCTTTACCTTTTCTTCACGTCTCACTGATCGAGAGTCGCTTTGCGTTTGCATTTCTCTAAGATAAGTTCTAATAACTTGGGAGGTAGTTTAGATGTTCCATTTCTTTAGGTTTGCTTCAGTTTGCAAAACATATGATGCACAGTTTAGACTCTAAATGTCATAAAATCTGCATGTCTGGTTTAGACAGAGATTATTCAGACAATTAATTGGTAGTACGTATTTGCCTCCAATGCGCTAGCTGCTGTATAATATAAGCGACTTGACTTGGCATCGCATTTTTATGTCGCCCTCGTTCGTGCGGGACCGTATACGAAAGTGCTTACTGGAGCGTGTAGATTTTTCATGAGCCTGTCGTCAATTGATCGTGATGATGGAGTCCTGATAACTTAGAGAATTGTTTGCGATGAGTGCATTGCAAACTGCAAGTACGCAGGGTAGTGGCACACAGTTATGGTATCTGCTTGGCTTTTCGTCCCTGAAGAGATTCGTCATTTATGTTTGAAAGCTTGTGAGAGTGAGTAATTATTTCATTAGTTTGCATCATCCCGTCGAGCGGCCTGCTAGGAAGTTTAAATACGAAGAGTGGGTTTTACCTGATATTTTTTTCACCTAAGGTTCCATTCTGTGCCCATTTGATATGTTAAATTATCTGTATATTCGCGGTTAACCTAAGTTGTATATATTTTCTTTATATTTCAATTAAAAGTGACGTAAGAGAGAATTGCCTCTTCGCATCTTTGAATAATTCTGCGATCTTACGTTTATCTATATGACTGTTATTGAAAGCTCTTGAGTACCGATTCGAATGCTTCGGATAATTCTCTTTCCTTCACCTTGATTTTTTTTAATTTATTTGTTTATCTTTTGTTTTGTTTTGCTTTTATTTCTACTTTTTTCGTTTTGTTTTCTTTCGAAAGCGATATTTTTGAAATTATTACTACTGTTGTATTCAAGCAGTGAAAATGCTTCTACAAAGTAGCTCGAGATCCAACAGACCAAGCACAGGGATGGGCGTTGACTCACACAGACTAGATTCCTCTGCGGGTGATGCATTCAACTCCGAAGAATACGAAGACTTGGGGGCAACAGTGGCCAGCTCGAACTATTTATGGGTGGACCCTAATATCTTGAAGCTTTCGCATAGAATTGGGAGGGGTCCATTTGGTGATGTTTGGCTAGCTACTATACATAGTTCGACCAAGGACTTCGATGAATTTCATGAGGTTGCTGTGAAGATGCTGCCTGATTCACGTGAACATATGCACTCCTTACTTCAAAGGTTTCAATCTACATACCAACAGGTTGAGACTGTGAGGGGGGTATGCTGGCCCCAGGGTGTCACCATAAAAAACGGAAGGGTAAGTGGAGTATTATCATTCATGTATGTTAATAAATGTGTGTCACGACACTTCCGGTTTCCCTGTGATTGAAAAGCTTGACTGCTGTATGGAGTCGTGGGCTGGACTAATTGGTACTTTTGTGAAGGAAGTTAACGGGCTCTCTCGTTGCGTTCACAGCCCAGAGTACGAATGTCGCCTAACCTGATGATTGTAGTCGTGGACGTATCCTCCAAAAGTCTGCAAATTTATTTCCCGATTCGTTTTCACCTCTCATTTCACTAAGACTAAATTTTCGACATTTGAGCAGGTTTGTATTATCATGAAGTTTCTTGAGGGCTCTATTGGAGACAAAATAGCCCATCTCCCAAGCAGCAAGCTGCCCCTCGAAGACGTCTTAAGGTGCGACTCTAGCTTGTCCTAAGTTCGGAACGAATCCCAAACTGGATCTATTCCCCTCCCCCTTCTGTTCTTTTTAATTCTAGATAAGTGTAAAGTAGTATACGTCATGTTTAACATGGTATCTGCAAACTTTGAAGTGCTCATCAATTTGAAGCGAACTGAAAACAAACCTTCTGCAAGTTTGGATCTCCAGCCTGGTCTCTCTACAAAGCATGGGGTTGAAATTTGCAGTCAGGGGCATATGGCATGCCATTACCTCAAGTAAATCTTAGCGAAGGGATGATCGTGAATAGTCTTGAGCTCACCTAATTTGACGATCTAGCATGAATTTTTGCCATTCCACCTGGAATTGGACAGAAAGCATGTAAATGTCTCTTACCACCAATAGGCTTGTTTTAGTTTCGCGTGGAAGATTTGTACAGGATCAACTTGGATTAGCATCTGACATGATCTTGGCGTTGACAGATATGGTCAACACCTACTCCGAGGCATCTTGGAGCTTCACTCGCATGGAGTTCTAGCCCTCAATTTAAAACCGTGTAATTTCCTTCTTGACGACCAAGATGTGGCTGTGGTGGGTGAATTTGGAATTCCAATGCTATATGCGGGTATGGTTGCACCGTCGGAGCGAACAGTTTGGCTTGGTTCTCCAAATTATATGGCTCCCGAACAGTGGGGCGCTAATGTAAGAGGTCCGGTTTCTTTTGAGACTGATTGCTGGGGTTTCGCCTGTAGTGTAATCGAACTTTTGACAGGTGAAAGGCCGTGGAAAAACTTAACACCAGAAAAGATATTTAAGGCCGTAGTGGACAGACACGAGAAACCCAACGTTCCAACTGGTTTACCCCCTTCCCTGGAGAGAGTGTTGAAGAGGTGCTTTGAGTATGATTACCGGCGTCGCCCGTCCGTGCATGAGATTCTTCAAACCTTCATTGAGTAAGTTTGTGTTTTATTTTTCAAAACGAGGTTAAGAATTGTCTCTTTTCGGTTGTCGGCTGTACTCTTGGCTTGAGGTCGATTGGGTTGCTTCTTATTCCTCTTGCATCACGTAATTGTATATTGATGCACAATATACCGAGATGAAATAATGTTTGGTACTTACAAATTACTTCCTTGCTGCGCAGTCCCAGCGAGCCCTTCAAAGTTGGTGACTGGATTATTGCTGGTGAGAATGAAAAGGAGAAGGGCCAGGGCGTTGGGGTGGTGAAAACTGTACTAGGTCCGGACAGTGTTAAAGTACAGTTCTGTGACAAACCTAGGGAGCTCACGCAATTCAGCGGGGTTAACCAGCTCAGTAATCTCTCATTGTGGAAGTACTCATTTCAAGTCGGTGATTCTGTGAGGCTGAAAGCTTCTGTCAACAGTCCTCGATTTGGGTGGCCAGGTGAAAACGCAACTGAGGGAACAGTATCGGAGATTGGGATAGACGATGCCGTCTTCATTGTTGTATTCACAGGCTCTCAGCAAACTTGGAGAGCTGATCCTCTTGAACTTGAGCGAGTGGCAGGAGGTATAGTGGCTAATGACTGGGTTCGATCGCGTAATCTGGTAGAGTCGAATGGACAGAATCCGTCCCGTATTGGAATTGTGCATCACGTTGGTCCCTCAGGGAGTTTAAAAGTTTCTTTCTTCGGACTTGAAACTCTTTGGACAGGAGAAGCAGCAGATTTTGAGAATGTTTCACCTCTTACTGTTGGCCAGTATGTGAGATTGAAACAAGCAGTGTTAGCTCCTAGGTTCAAGTGGCCTCTGACCGAGTGTGGCGAGTGGGATACAGGACGTATTGCGCATGTCTTACCTAATGGTGGCTTGATTGTTGACTTTCCGGGCCGTCTCTTCCATGGTAAGGGTTGGTGGGCAGATTCTGAGGAGATTGAGGTAATTCGGATAAGCGAGATCGAGGGGCTTTTGAAAAAATACCAGCACATCGAGAAGATGCACTGGGTCGTACGTCCAGCTGTATCATTGATCGGTTTACTGGTAGCTGTGCGTACTGGCGTAGTGGTAGTGAATTTGGTGACACGACCCTTCAGGGGAAAGAAACAAGCGGCTGTAACCGATGAAGCTGGCATAAAACCTGGCCAATACCCAACTGATCTAGGTAAGACGAAGAAGGAAGGGACAGGCTCATTGGGTTCCGTTTGGCTGCCCTCACAGGTTGCCGCAGCTACTTCTAGTGTTGCTGGCATCATGTTTGGTAAGGGTGAGTTCTCAACTTAAGGTGATGCTGCATACATTCAAAGATATGTTTTGTAATTTAAGGTGTGCATTAAGTATGCAGAAAGTTAAGTCGCTGTATTTAAACCTGTAGAAATTTGTGGATTAGTAGAATGTTTGAGAATCTCCATCCCACTGGACATGGGTTGTATATGATTTGCATAAATCCTTTTTAGCCATAGCTCCCCAGGACAGAACTGGAACAAATATTTTGTATTTACTCCAGCAATGTAAATATGGACATATTTTGCATTATGACTTCTCAAAAGTGTTATCTTTATCTTTTAATTTACATTATTATTTTGTAACCATGTGTTGTGGAAGAAGGAAGAGTGGTCATCTTCCATGTTCAGTCACCAATGCAAGTGTGAATTACGCATTACGTCTATTTTAATCACACAGAAAGGGAAACATGGATGCTCAATACACTTTTTAATGCAATCAGATATTGTAATTTTTACTTTACGTGCACTGTTGTTTCTTCAATATTATTCTCATATGTTTAGTAGCCAATGACAAACCTAACTATAAATCACTGTTTAACTAATTTTGACAGCTAATTTATGATTTGATGATTTTAAAAAATACTTTATGAAAGGAATTGTTTCCTTATAGTGCAATATAAGTTGTAAACTGTATAGTTATGTGTAGTAGTGTAGTCAAAATCAAAATTATGATAATTTTGCTAGTAATTTGCTTAGAAGATGAAGGAAGAATAAAATAAAAATAAATTCAAACAATTAAAGAAGTTCATATTTATAATATTGATGCAATTATAAACATGTGGAAGTTGTAGAGGCAATAAATTTTACATGTAAGCCAACTGTCAAACAGATTAGACATCATCATTTTAAATTTTTATTGAAAAAGTTTTTCTAATAGACTCATTCAAATAATACTTAAAAATCATCAATTGTATAATACACATTGTATAGAATGTCATTGGCAAAAAGTTTTCAAAATCAAAAAGGCCACCAAAATGCCTATGCTGTGCTTTCAAACTGTTGAGAATGTTTGGAAAGACATAAGAGTAGCTAGAAGTAATGTGTACACACACACTCAAAAGAGTGTATAGAAGGAGAGAGAGCTTCTTCTTTCTTATTTGTGTATTGATGTGGTTGTCTCTTGTATACAAAGAGAAGCGGAGAAGATAAATAGTTTCTCCCCACTTCATTCTAAACACTATAGCTACAGTATTTCCTATAAACTATAGTAAATAATATGGAAAGTACAGTCTACATTTAATGCTCTCAACACTCCTCCTTGCTTGTCATAATATTTATATAACATATAATTTGCATAGAATTATAATCTATACTTTTTTGTAATCTTGCAAGATCAACAGTTGTTGCCTCATTAAAACCTTATCTAAAAAAACCTTATTGTATTCAAGGGCAAAACCATTGATGAAGGAAAAAGAGTACATCATTTTTCTTAATTATTTAAAGAATTCATTAACTTTCTTGCTCAAGAAAAGCAAGTCATCACATGCCAATGTTATAAGTAAGTCGGTGATGGTTGCACAAAGGATGAGTTTTGGTGAAGAAATCATCAAGGTTGTTATTTGCAGATTCAATTTTTTTGATCTTAAGTGCTTGATCAGTAATTAAGTCATTGATATAATTAAAATACTTTAAATCAATATGATTTGTCTTGTTGCCTTTCATGAAACCAACTTGCATCTAAGCAACACAAGCACTATTGTCTTCATACAAGATAGTTGGAGAATCATCATATGAAAGTCCACATGTTGTTTGAATGAGTAAATCAATTGATCGTAACCTAATACATTCTTGAGATACTTCATGTAAGGCAATAATTTTTGTATGGTTGAATGAAGTTGCAATTATAGTTTGTTTCACTAATTTCTATGATATTGCAGCTCTATGTCTTATGAATACATAGCTTGTTTGAAATTTAGCTATTGCAATATCAGATTTATATCTTGCACTGTAACATCTAATTAATTTTGGATTTGCAAATCATGTGTAGTATAATTCTAAGTCTTTAGTACTTTTTAAATAACATAATAAATGTTTGATGCCATAGTATGTTTGATGTCATAATATTAGATGTGTATTGTGTCTTGCAAGAATACTAGTTGTAAATGCAATATCTAATCTTGTAGATGTGGCTAAATATAAAAGTGCTCCAACCATTGCAAGGTATAGATACTTATCTCCCAATATTTTCTCCTTCTCATATAGATGGTATGGGTCATTACTATCATGACCACGTCCAACCATTGGTGTTGACAATGGATAAACATCAATCATATTGAATCTTCGCAAGATTTGACTAATATATATTAGTTGGTAGAGAAAAATGCTACCATTTGTGAGATGCATAATCTGAAGATCAATGGAAAAAGTTGTTTTTTCTAGCATTTTCATCTCAAACTCATAGATAAGTATGTTAGTAGTTGCAATGTATGCAAATCTAGTATCCATTAGATTAAGATTAATAACATATACAATGATGATTACAAAACCAATTTTATCTTGTTTGATAAACAAACAAAGAATTAATGGATCACTTACAAACTTATTTATAATTAAATAATCTTAGAGACATTGATACTACATGCATCCAAATTATTATAGACCATACAAGTCCATATGTAATTTAATACCACGATATCATCTTGAAGTAGGTCCATTTGGAGTTCTTATTTTCAAACCACATAGAACTTTCATATAAATATTTGCATCAAGAGAACTATATAAATATGTAGTTACCACATCTATGAGATGCATCTTAAGAGTGGTATGAATTATCATTCTAATAATATATTGGAATATAATTGAATCCATGATTAGAAAATATGTGGATTCATATTCAATGCCAAATCATTGGATAAATCCTTAAGTAATAAGATGAGCTTTATAGTAGATTATTTGATCCTTAGCATCTTGCTTGCGTATTAATACCATCTTATATCTCATAAGGCAAGATGTAAGAGTGTCCACAATTGGACCAAAGACTTTTCTCTTATGCAAAGATGCATATTCTTCTTCAATGGTAATTTTTTATTTTAATCAATTAGAGCAATGCATTATTTTGTTGATGGTTTGAAGTTTAGGATCCTCTTTTTTGCAAGAAAGAGCTTCTGCAATCATGCATAGAAATGATTCATCTATTGTAATAGATGGTTTATCTCAAGTGTCATTTGTAACTTAATAAAAAATAAATAATTTTGTACTCAACTTGATTTTATTCTTTTTAATTTCAAGATTTTCTATTGCATGAAGTGAAGATATAATTTACTTGGATATATCTTTATTAATTGATGATCTTGTAGATTTAGAAGGAACTTTCATAAAAAAAATATTAAAATCAGGAAATATTATAGCTTTCTTCTTATATGATTGCTTATTTGGTCCACAAGTCTTTTTAGTTTTTGATGTTATAACTTGAGGTATATTAGTTAGTAGTATTGCAATTTGAGCAAGTGCATTTTGAGCCTTATTAATGAGAATTCTTGTAATTTTAAGCATATCATTGAAGCCATAAAGTATTCCATTTATGATGTATTTTAGATACAAAATCTTAGCAACTTCAATTTCAACCAAAGATGATCTAGGATTAGAATTCATTGTAAATGTTTCTGGTGCTTCAAATACAAGTATTTTATTTCTTTGTTGATTAGATATTCCTCTTCAAAAAATAGAAATATATTCTCTTCAAAATTACAATTTTAAAAACATGCATGTAATAATGTGCCAATTGTTGGATCAATAGTAAGAATAATGCTTGATAAATCAAACCAATATATATGCCCTTTTGTCAATGAGGTCCAATGGTATGCCTTTGAGGTTTTGGTACAAGAATCCAAACACAACAGCTAAATATCTATAGGTGAGATATATTAAGAATATGACATGAAATGAGTTCTTGTGGTGTAATAATTCTAAGAAAAGAAGAATGGAGGCGTATTAATACTATAGCATGCAAAACTACATGACTACACATAGATAAAAGTAAATTTGCTTGAAGAAAGAGTGGCTAGATAATAAGTTGTATATGATTTATAAATATCTTTACAAGTCTATTTTGAGCATGTTTATATAGAATATAATATGTCAACTCAATCCTTGTTGCAATACAATAGTCTTCAAAAGATTTTGATTCAAATTCTTTTATATTGTTCATATGCAATATTTTGATAAGATAATTAAAAAAATGTATTTAGAAATGAATAAGCATAGATATAAGATTCGCAAACACCATATTTTAGATTGATTATAATGAAATATATGATTGTTTGCGTGATGCATCAATAAGAACTAAAAAATAATGAAATAGTCTAGATATTGGATTAATAGGACCACAAATATCACCATATAATCTTTCAAGGATTGGTGGTAATTCTTGTAGGAGTTTCCAAATTGAATGCCAAACAATCATCTTGCCTTGTATACATGTATGACATAATTCTATAGAATCTATATCTACAAGTCTTAAATTATGTCCAATTATACATAGAATTATCTTCCAAAATAATATAGGTCTTGGATATTGTAATTGTCTATGCTAGAAAAAAAAAAAAAAAAAAAAAAAAAAAAAAACTTTTTGTAATAGATGATGTAAAATTAAATATAATGGGAGGCCAAATTGCAATCCAATATAAACCATTTGTTGCAATAAAGGCTTTTTTAACAACTTTATGGTTTTTTGCAAGAATCAAAACCTCATGGTAAAATTGCCTATGGGCTCTATTATAAATTTTAAACATACAATGTTTCTACCCTTAGCACCTCAAAGTTCCGTCTTAGAAACAAAATACACTTGCTTTAGTCACACTCATCAAATTTTTAGTTTCCTAAATTGAAGTTTTTTTGGTAAAAAACCATCTATTCCGCAAGATAATATGTATTTTTACAAAATCAATGAATGCATCATTTCATTCATCATTAGAGGTTTTGTCATTCATATAAGCATCTAAATCGTCAACATTAATTGAGTCTATGGATGCATCTATAGTACGAACTTTACGAGCCTCAACTTGAAGTTTCTTATTTTTTTAAAATATTTTAATAAAGTATTTTAAAGTACAACATGCATATGCTAAATGTCCAATCATCCTACATTTATAATAAGAATGCATCTCCAATTTTTATTTTCCATTGTAATTAATAATAGAACATTTATTCTATCCATATATGAAAAAATGGTCACAACCATGACTGCTCTAATACTTATGAGTACCTTTCTTGTGTTTGTATAATTTTTTCTTAAACTTTGAAATATTAAGTACATGAGATTTTGGAATTGTAGTTCTAATAAGACAAGCTTTTGTATTATGCAAGAATAATTTATTTTATTTCTATACAAGAAGTAGATAGGACATGAGATCAAGATGACTTTGAAATTTCATATTTCAATATTATTGTGCAAGCATAGTAGATACAAGAGAAAATATAGAGAGAATTTTATCAATCATTTTTTTCTTTAAAGATGCTTTGTCCAAACAACAATAGTTGTGAGATAATACAATATATTTCACTGTTAAAAGCATTTAAATTTGAAAAATCTAAGACACATAAATGTCTAATCATGACTTATATATAAAAGAAAAATGGTCTTTTGATGATTAAATTTAGATTTAAGATTCTCTCAAAACTTAACTTGATCTTTGATTTCTAAATATTAATGTTGTAATACAAGTATAAGATGATGACAAGAGAAGAAGTGCTTTCTAACAGATAGCAAGAAAAATAAAAGTACTTATAATAGGAAATTCTTCAATTAGAATTACATCTGAGACTTATTCTAAAAATAAATTTTCTTTTGCAATTTTTTTCCATAATAAATAATTATTTCCATCAATAGCCAATGGTAGAAATATAACAACTTGAAAATATTGGAATGTAGTGGTGATAGTTGGAACCATAGTACATGCAATTGAAGATGCTGAAGCATTCATTATAAATAAATGTATAAAAAAATACAAGATCAAGTAGAAAAAGTTGAATAAAATGTTCCTTGAAATGTAAAGTCATATAAAATGGTATAATTAAACTTAAAATAAAAAGTATTTAGAATTTAAGAATATATTTTTTTTCCTTCAAAAATATGGATCTACAATAGATTACAGCAACAATGGCAGACAATGGCACTAATGACGGATAGCAATGGCAAGCAACAAGACATGGTAGTCAATGATAGAATCATGAAGTAGCAAGCAGTAGCAATTATAGCAAAGTAGGATGTAGCAATAGCAAATAGATAATAGAGTAGAAAAAAAAAAGCAAGGAGACAGTAAAAGATAAGATGTACACAAGTTTTTAAGAACCAAGATTAATGCACAGGAGTAGTTGTCTTGATAATATATTGAGAATGTTTGAAAAGATACAAGAATAGCTGGAAGTAATGTATACACACACACTTACAAAAGAGTGTATAGAAGGAGAGAAAGCATCTTTTTACTTATATATTGATGTATTTGTGTCTTATATACAAAGAGAAGGGAAGGAGGTAATCAGTTTTTTTCTACTACATTCTAAACACTATAGCTACAATATTCACTGTAAACTACAATAAATATTATGAAGAGCATTAGCTACATTTAATGCTCTCAATACAAACAACAAACCATTTTCCTCACAACTACTGTAATATAGTAAAAACAAAAAAAACCAAACCTTGAAAATGTCGAAAGTGAAAGGTAACAAAAAAGGAAGAGCCACGAAAGCTGAAAGCGAAAGGAAAAAGGGAACAGTCACATAAAGTAAAACTCCGAAAGCTGAAAAGCAACCGCGAAAAAGACAGAAGTAGAAAGGAAGGAAGGAAGCAAGAAGACGGACATCCCAATAACTAACTGCCGACGTCGCGACGCCGCTCCTCTGCGAATCTCTGCGTGTGTGTGCTGAGCCGGGAGGCAGAATCAACCAGGCGGACTAACGAGGATGAAGAAGTAGATGGGAGATGATGGGGTGTAGCAGCGAGAAACACCAGGACGAAGAAGCAAGCAAGCAAGCAAGCAAAAAGACTCACGTACAAGAAGCAGGGCAGGTAGGAAGACAGGAAGGCAGTTTTCTGGGCGAGCGAAAGGGTGCACGAAGCGGCACCAGGCTTGAGTTATGTCATGCCCACAAGTGCCGTGACTCCTCCTCACATCCTCCGCTTCTCTCCGGTTCCCACTCTCACTCTCACTCGTACTCTCACTCTTACTCCCTCACGCCCCACCTGCATGCATTCTGCTTCCCTTCTCGTTCCAGCCTCGTTTGACAGTTAGCCTTCTGCCTCCCCTCTCCTCCAACCGCTTTCCTCTCACCTGCCTCCTTGACGCTGGGATCCACTCCTGCGGCCCACCGAGCACCGTCGTTGGGCGTTCGTCGTTCGCCCGGAGAGTGCATGCAGCGGAGTTGACCCGCTCTGGTATTTCGCATACCATTGGGCGGTCTCGCTGAATTTGTAGTTGTCATGTGGTTCTGAAGGTCCGTTAGATGATGTGTTTTTTTCTTTGGGGAGTTGATCTTGGTTATGTTGGGTTGAGGTGTATAGTGATCGGGTGTGTATCTGCGTGACTGAGGATCTTTAGAGTTGATCTTTAGAGTTGATCTGTTGCTGGAGACTATGCGTTTGTTTTGTGTTGGTGGTATCTTCGTCATGTTCTTCGAGGGAGGATGTTGGTCTTAAATGTTGTGCAGTTCGATTGTAACTGAAAATATTATCATGCAAAAGGCCTGCTCGTTCAGCTCGTAGATAATCATGATAATTAGTGACGTTGAGAAGAGAATTTCTGCCCATGCAGAGGATTGGACTCGTACGGCTTGTAATTTACATGTAGAATCTTTCTTTTCCAGTTCTTATTGGAATTGTCTTGGAGATACGAGAAATGGGTTCTTCCGTGTTTAAAAGACCAAGGATCTTTTAACTTCTTAAGAATCGTAATTATGCACTCCCTAATTGTGTATGTGACTTATCCTCATCAAAGAAATGGCCGCAAGTCTCTTTCAGTGTCCTAAAGTTCTTAAAGAATTGACCTAGTGTCTCTTTATGTGCACGCCCATGATCAACCGCGAACAGGATCCTTTTCGTTTCAACTCTCTTCAGTTTCTTACGATAGTCATCCACCTTTGGGTGGATTCATACAAGCATCGATGTCACACATAAGACGACTCAAGATGTCTATCTCTGACGATGTGGATATCTCACCATCTCCAGAGATGTTTCTGCCACCACCTGAAGTGAACCCGTGTTACCCTTACTCATAAAAAAATCCGCGTACAATCCCCAGGATTTTTAAGTCATTTTGTGGGATTCTTTTAAGTTTGATTTTGCAGTACGTCTCTGAGTATGGTCAGTTTGAGCTTCTGATTGGTGCTCAACATCTCACTCCTGAAGAAATTTGGTTCTCCTCCAAGTTTCATATTGTTGTTTCTTGCGGTACTTAAGTTCCCGCTTGATGCCTGCCTAGCAATCGTTTTTTATTTCCAGGTTTCGCCGCTGTGGGGTATTATGCATTTACTTGTTTTGAAGCTTTTCAATAGTTTTCCTTGCGTTGAGGAAGTGTTCAGGCATGGTACTGATTGTTTCTCCCTGGAATGTTTTGATTTGCAGCTTGAACGCACGTTGTTTCTGGAGTGCGGCCGTATTTGGCATCTCAGCCGAATAAACACATCACCTCTCACATCGGAATACTGGAGTGGTGTCACTTGAAGACGCTACACCACCACAACAACGTTGACGATTGATCGCTTCATCACTAATGACGGCATCCGAGCTTCACAGCCTGGAACCACACTCTGATGTGACGGTTTGTTCTAGTTTGTACACCAAGACCCCAAAGTGGAGCACCAAAATCCATGCATCTAAGTTACTGAAGGGCGTGCTAATGTCCAGGACATTGAACTCCGCTTCCTCGGACCAGGAATCTAGCTCTGCTTCTAATCCTAACACGGTACCATCGAGAGGGAAACGATCATTTTATTCTGACAAAGCTATTTCATCCGCCACTTTAATATCTAAAGAAACATCCTTGGTGGTAAAGACTACCTGCCTGTGTGCACCGACAAAACATGTTGGCTCCTTCCGCTGCCGTCTTCACAGGACAACCCAGAAACATTGGGATGGTCGCCGAACGTTTCCTACGTCCGCCACCAAAGCTTCCAGCTCTACAAGTCTACCTGCCAATGAAAATTCCGGAAATATTGGAGTGATCGCTCCATGGGCCAACGGTCTCCAAGTTCCACAAGCAGGGTGCATTTCGAGGACTGGAGCTGCTCGACCCAGCCGCCTAAGGACGGTGGTAGTTGCTACTCATCCCGAGGACATCGACCCAGAAGATGATCCTGCTTCACCAATGCTCAGCGAGTGAGCCTTGTCCCCCTTTTCCCCCTTTTCCACACCCATGCTCAAGCGCCTTGTCCATTGACATCTTACAGATTCTAAAACCGCATTGCTTTTAAGATCCTTGATTGCAGAAATATTGGGAGATGAAGCATCTGTGGCTGCATTTTAGATGCTGCATTGTTTGGTTGAAAAAGAGATCACGAATCAATCTCTTTATTTACTTTTAAGTCTGATAGCTAAGAAAGTGTGGAGCATATTGAAGGGGATGGACTCTGATACTGGTATATCGGCGTGCAGAGCGAGTGTTAAATACATAAAAGTTGGGACATCAACCACGACTGCGACGGATAATGCTGTCAAGCAAACTGGAGCACCTGTATCAAGAGTTCTGCACACTGCATCGTAGCCTGCAGCCAACTTCAGGCCTTGTTCTGTCCATCAAGAATCCTTTGGAAACCTCTTAATAGTTGTGGCGGTGTTTGACAATGTCCACCCTGCGTTCCATGGAGAACTATGAATTCCCCCTCTCCAAGACAGCCCTAGGTTATCAATCGACTCGAAGTATTGGGAACCCTTGTAAATTTACAAAACTGAAAATACGGTAGTAAATTTTTTTGGAGCATCTGTGTCAATGCCTTCCGATTGAACTCACTGGTCCAGTGAGTTATGTCGGTGTTGGTATTGTCTTTACTTTCATAATTAAACTCATTGGTTGGCCAATGCAAAGGTGGGCTTCTCATGGGCTCAAAAGGGACGAAGTTGTCTTGGGAATACCCCATGTTCTTTGCTCGTGTCTTGTAACTGTCTGTCACGTATCTTCAGGATTGTCTTTGGAGGTTTTGCCCTCAGGGTTTAGTTATATAACTACGGTTATTTTAATGAAGGATTTGCTTATATCTTACAGTGTGACTACTCTGTGAGTCCTATAACTCACGACAAATTAATAATGCCTTGAGCTACCATGCAATGATCGGGATGTTCAGCAAATGTGGATTTCGGTTCGTACTTTTCAGTGTTCAGAAAATATGTTTTGATTTCTGTTATTGAGGTGTGCTCTCTAATTGGCAATAAACACTGGTTATAATGTCTATTGGTTACTTCGTTTTTTTGTATAAGACTTTTTGTTTTATTTCTCTTGTTTCTTGTTAACATTTTAAGTGCACCAAAGGTAAGAGCAAGCTATTGGGGTAAGGAAACAACTTAGGAAATCAACCCAATATAGACAAATATGCATATGTATTTTTCTCCAGAACTATAATTTTGGAAAGGGTAGAAGATAATTTTCCAAGCAAGAAACTTGTTGCTACATCATTGCAAAAGTAAGCTAAGTAGGTCAGAGGATGGAAATCTAGAGTTACATTTGATGTATTTCTTAATATATTATGTATTATACATGATTAATGAACTTTTAGTGAGCTTTATATTTAAGGATTGTATAAAATATATATATATATATATATATATATATATTTCTCCTTCTTCTTCTGGTTGTTGTAATAGAATCACACAATCCTTAAATAAATCAAAATCAAAAGAGCAAAATAGCTTCTAACAAAGGCTAAGAAGAATAGTTGTGGAAAAAAAAAAAACAAAGAAAAAAAGCTTAAATTGTCTCTAACTAATTCGTTTACAATTATGTGTTTTTTGTCATTTTCTATTAGATAAGATTAAAGAACTATGGTGCAACCAAATCATACACGTTCAATTCAATGCAATAAATAATATTGCTGCAAATTTCATATCTTCTATAGTATTTAAAAGCATGTAAAACTTTTAGAAGAAGAAAATACAATGAAATAAAAATGAGTTGATTTGCAATTGGTTTGAAGTAAAGTTTTTTACTTATAATTTGCTTATAATATTTTTACTTATAATTTACTTATAACTTAGAATTAAATTATTTCTGAAAAAAATTATAAATATTTAGATCTTAGGTTTTTTATAAAATATTATAAATATAGTTTTTAAAATAAAAAAGATAATTATTATCTTTAGATATTGTTACAAATTTTTTATTTCTTCTTAATATATATCTATAAAATAAAAATATTTAAACATAATTAGAAATTGATTTAAAATAATCATTTTCAATCTTCTAGTATCAATCATTTTAGTGATTTTTACTATAATAGTCATTTGCAAGTCTTTAAAATCAAATAAGTTAGGAATTTTGTGCAATTAAATTGAAATTGCTTACTTATTTATACACAATTGCATGCTATGGAGCTCATAGTTAGATTCAAATTGTTAAAATTTCCCATGCATTGTTGTAGGCATGGTATAGGCCACACCTCACAATGCAAACAAAAATATTTGTTTTACATTAGGAGAGATTGATACATTTTCTTATGAATTATTTTTTATTTTTATCTTTTTATCTTTTTAGAGGTTTTTAAAAAAAATTGTTGCCAATACAAGAAAAGATGGTATTATATACCAAAAATATTTTTAAAAACTAAGAAAGCTCATGAGTAGAATATACTAGAAAAAATATGAGTATAAAAGTTATATGATTTAAGCTTCCTATGGACCTCACAAAAGAGTGTGCCATTGTCAATACCTTTGATCTTTCTCAGCTTGATAGTTAGTTGCATCCTATCTAATGGATCCCAAGCAAGACTTTACCTTTTAGTTTCTTAAAAAAATATTTGGATCTTTTAATTTGCAATAAATCTTATAAAATTAAGATGAATTGAGACATTATTACATACTTTGTTGGTAATAAATAAGAAGTTTTTTAATTTAAAATTTAGAAGAAAATCTAGAATTTGAGATTGTTAATACATTTGCTATTTAAAAGAATCTCAATATAGGTTGTTTCTAATTGAAAATTAAATTTAAAGAGATATCTTAGCATACTTTGATCTTCTTGTTATATAAATTAAAGATTGGCATTTCCACGTTCCAATCATAGAATCTAACATTCAATTCAAGAGCGCTTTAGAATCCTTAAGGCATCTTGTATTTTGACTCATTTAATATACTTATGTAGAATGTTATTAAAAATATTTTAGATAAATATATTGCCATAGCTCCTCAAATTTTCAGAAGACTTATTAAAGTATTAGTTCATGGAAGAAATAATAGAAAATCTTTAAAATCTAAATTTGTATTGAATTAGACTTAGTTGCAAGCTAAGAATTAAAATTTTATGTCTAAAATCTAGTAACAAATATTAAAAAATATATTTGTATCAACTCGACTATTTAAATTTTTTTAATTCAATGCTAATTTATTTTGGAAAAAAATTACTAAATTTGCAAATATATTTCTCTCTCTAAGGCTTAATCAAAATCCAAAGAGACCATGACAAGCAAAAAATTAGAAATATTTTTAACTCTACTATCACGAGTTTTCAATTGAATAATTTAAAATTCATCTACAATATATCATCTAGCCCATCTATTAAAGTTCAAAATTCTAATAAAAATAATTCAAAAGTATTTGCATGTATTCATCATAAAAAAAATAAGAAAAAAGATTTAATTGAATTTAATATTTTATTAAATAAATTAAAAAACTACCATTCTTTCAAACACTACTATGCTTTCTTTAAACTCATAGTCTTATTCAAAGTTCAAAAAACAACAAGTTTTGATTCTATAAATAATTATTAAGGAGGTAGAATAGGTAATTGCAACCAATTATTTATCTTACTTAAAAATCTTAGATATATAACAATTGAAGAAAATATGACCAATGGCCAAGATAAACATAAGATGTATTGGCTTCTTAACTCCAACTTTATTATTCTTACTATGGATTGTAAACAATGTAGAATGTATGTCTCTTAGAGCCTTCCTATTGTATTATTTGCTAGACTTTGGGAATACTCAATACAAAAAATTCCACAAGTGGGTCCAATAGTAATGTCATGGAAGTCATGTATCATTATAAGAATTAAAAAAATACATAACAAAGATGCTTTAAAAAAATTCCAAGAAATAGAAGGCATCTACTTAAAAACATTTCTAGCTTTCCGCCATGTTAAGTTGTCAATAGCTAGCTTAGAAAGAGCTCTTGTGGCAGATGTGCAATTGAGATTACAAGCTATTTGTGGACTTTTGTAAAAAAAAATTAAGTTTATAAGTACCAAATATTAGATGATACTACTGTCTTGAATCAATTTTCAACTAAATTTATTATTCATCTTTAAAAGTCCAAACTCAAATCTTCTAAGTTAAAAATAGATATATTTTTTAAAAATAATTATCAAATATTAAAAAAAGTTAGTAAAAAATATTCTCAAACTTATAAGAGGGGTTCTTTCATCTATTCTACAAGAATCTTTATAGAATTTTAAGTATTTTTACAAAGAAAAATCTCTTTTGCATACTAAAAGACATATAAAATTTCAAGGCCTATTACAAGCAATCCATCAAGCTCTATATGTTAATCCTACAAACTTATTTTAAACATATTCAAGGCTCCTTTAATCAATTAGAAGATTAGTAGCTAAAAAAAGAAAGAAAAAAAGAAAATATTCTCATATTGAATAGAGACAAATTAGAGACAACATTGACAAAGATTTCTATGCAATTGTTATTAATTTATATCCTAAATTAATTATTATGGAACTAAATAGCTCTCATTTTGAGTTACAATGGAACTTCTAAGTTTTTAAAAACATATATTATGATTTATCTTATACTTTATATTAAAACACAATAATTAGTCCTTGAGATTTGTGGAGGCTATAAATTTCTTTATTAACAAAATACTTACCACACAAGTCTAAAACTAAAACTAAACAATCTATCAAATTCTTATATCTTATAAATATTTTTTAGATAATATCTATTGATAAGATCCTCCTCTTTTCTTCCAATAATATATAATGTCATAGAATATTCTACAATGGTTGCTCAAATATCAATTGCATTAGCAACATAATATAAAACAATATAAACACCTTACATAAATTATGCAAAATGCCAAAAATCTCTAAATCTAATATTTTATGGTTTTTGCATTAGCTACATTTTTTTCTCCAACCACAGAAAAATGCATTACAATGGCCAAATCAAAAAGAACTATCTACTACATGTGTAACATGTGTTCTTAATGCAAGTTTTGTAATGCTTTCACCACCAAAGTTTATAGAAGTTGCAAGTGCAATGTTATTGCCAATTCTTTGAGGATCTCAACAATTATATTGATACCTATTTGAATGAACTTGGTGATACAGAAGTATCAAAGTTGACAAAATTATCGCAGTTTTTTGAAAGGTATTTGTATCTCCAAGAAAACTAGGTACATGTGTACACATATACCTCATTCATATCTAATTCTACAAGATGAGGAGACCAATGCCACACAATCCGCTCACTCCATTTTCACCACAGACCCCTACTTCCGCTTATATCCTTCACACAAATTATTACAATTGAGGCGGCACTTCATTAACCTCTAGCTTGTTTATTTTTCTTTAGTTGAATGTTCCTAGAACTTCCTTTCACACCGTGATGATTTCCTCATCCCCTCTCTTCCCGAGGACCGACCTCCCCATAACAAACAAAGTTGTTTATGGGACAAGCATTGATTGCTGAGACTCTATGTGACCCATCAACCTTCCATTTCCCAAAAATATACATGACTTGAACTGAGTTATTGGATTTTCAAGCTTTAAGTCAACCCCAACTAGCACGCAAAAGGCCTGAATGAGTGAATACCACATGCTCAAGCTCAGGGCATGTTTTAACATTATAGCAAAGCAGAACCCCAAGGCAGCCACAACAGACTCAAAGAAAAATTATAATTAACGTACACTAAATCGAACAAAAGAATTATGAACCAATGAGGAGAAAAAATTTCAAAGACCGTTGAGTAGTGGATTGGTTTGAAAATATGAGGTTATAAGCATGGAATCAAGAACGTCAATTTCTACAAATTTAACTCAAATGATCATCCTCATAATCCGGGTTGAGCTTCAAAATAACAAATCCTTCTAACACCGATGACAAAGGAAGGTACCTGCAAAATGTCCATCAAAGATGCAGGTCAGAAATTCATTCCAGACACAACCATGCAATGAAATTAATCAGATGCAGTACTGAGGGAACGTACTTGTCAGTGGCCAGCTCTGCACGGTCACCAGTAGCCAAAATAACAGGAGTAGTGTGTGTCTGGAAGCCAGTGATGGTCTTAGGACGACCCGCTTGACCAACTACATCAACAGCTTGGCCGACTCGTACAGGTACAGGTAGAGGTTTGAGATTCTCATCTAGAGTTATCAGCATCCGAGGCTATCATCGCAAAAATGAACAATTTTAGTGAAACCCACACATGATGCAAAGACCAGCATAAGCAAGAATCTCTGGAGCAATCTAATAGAAAAATATTGAAATTACACAAGCAGCTATCTGCAACGTTTACGTTTGAAATAGTCACTGTGCAAAAAATTAAATTGAGGTTTTACCTGCATGGCCAGAACAAGGAAATAGAGAACGTAATGGAATTTGCCAAGAACAAAAGTTTTCATGTCGAAGCTTGCATGCAAGAATGTGATCAGTCCTGCCAATGCCACACTGTACTCCAGAACACATGCTATCAGACTCGTGGTCAACTTGTCGAAAAGAAATAGCACAATCTCTCGCTACAAGGATCAATTTATAAATACGCTTACCACAATCTAAAGAGCCAATTCTTGTAGACATTACAAAACATCAATATTGACCCCCTATGCTTTAGGACATTGCTTGAAACAGAATACCCTGGGCCAAGAAGCTTGGTACGCTTACTTTGACAGTAGAAAGCGATCTGAATGGTAAGGGTTAAGCGTCAACAGTCCCTTCCCCATGTGGACAAGTCCTTGAGCAATCCTGACCTGCAACGACATTAATATGTAAGGAATAGTAGTCTCAAAAAGAAAGTTATTCTGCAGGAATGAAAAAATTAAGAGCAGAATGCAGAAAGGGTAGAGGCGTACACAGAATAGAAGGCTTGGGTCCTTGTAATAGTAGCTAGAAAGGTTGCGAAGCATGCCAGCAATTCGGGCATTATTAGTCCCAGCTCCAATAAGTCCCAAAGAAACCGTTGCCGACTGTAACATAAATAAATTGTTACGTCAGTCCACAGTATATGGTGTTATTGACTACAATAGATTTACAGGTATCAATTACAGTAAAGAATGAGTCTGAACTTGTGCAACAATGCCAACAAAGAATATGATGGAGGAACCACAAAGAAAAATACCATAGCTACTTCAGAATCACTGTCGTGGGTGAGACGGCTCAGTGTATCCATCACACTTATCTGCAACCAAAAATTAAAAGATCAACATATCAATATGCCCACCCCCCCCCCCCCCCCACTGAAGTTGCAGTTAAAGAATTTACTGAGAAAAGGAAACTAAAACACAAGGAAACATATGAAATCCTTTTGCAAACCGAATGTGAAAACAATAGTAAGTACCACCTTAAAACTGCTTGATTACAAGCATAGAATTTTCAGATATATTTACCTTAGGGTTAGAGATGGATAGGATCCCAAGTGCAAGCGGTACTGCTCGTCGAATGTTCTGTTCACCATACTGGAGAAGATGTTCCAAGGATCGAATGGCCATTTCACAACCCAACTCTTCAGCCATTGCTACCAAAGCAATACCCAAAACAGCAGGGGCCTGATGATTGTCACCCTTCTCTAAATGATCGCCGCACATGCTAAGCAGAGCTTGTACCTGCATTCAAAACAAAACTCTTCAGAACAGATCACATTTGTAGGAACTAACTACTTCTTTTCTTTTTCTTTTTATAATATTTACACCAAATTGTACAGAAATTCGCACGAAAGCATGTGGAAATAGCAAACACGGAAAGTGGAGATATTGCTACCTTAAGAACATTGCCAGTGCCTGCGTACGCACAAGTTTCTATGGTAACAAGACAATACTTGGAAATTTTCTCATTCAAAGTCTTGGCCACCTCCATGGTTGCATCCGCAGCTTCCTGAGCACCAAAAGAATATTTCATTAGAGACTCGGTCTATATTTGAAGAATTCCAAACATAGCACACATTCAATCAAATAAAACGTTAACTTTAGCAACACAAACATCAGTCATAGCAATAATGAGAGAACTCCAATTTCAAGTTTTCTTTAATGGACAGAAATTGTGGTCTTCAAAAGTTCAGAACAAAATTAAAATCTACAGTATCCATCTTAAATCTACAATGGAGCTGAGCTACGTGTGTTTCAAGAACAAATTAGAGAGGTAGCAAAAGAAGTACCTGCTTCCCAAGGTAGAGAAGACCAAGACCAAGACATAGAAAGCGGGCTAAAGGTTCTCCAAGTTCAGCCTCGCTACGGTCCATCAAGGCAAGTACAATAGATTGTGCAACATCCTCATTACAAGAGCCAACATAGACAAGGCCTAAAGCGACAGCAGCGAACCCTGCTAGATCAATTCCAACCTTCGAGTCTTGCACTATTGGAGTAAGTAGTTCCAACACCTGAATAAGAACGGTACCAACACAATGCATTAAGTATTGCACATTCTAGATTAGGAAAAACATACGAAACTAACGAAAAGCCAGGCACGAAAAAACATAAAGTAAACAAACTTTCTAACCTCCTCCTTTTGCGATCCAGCATACGCCAACCCAAGACCCATGATTGCTCCAATGCGAACTGTAACATCATCCTTGTTGGCAGAGTCATACAAAAGAGCATAAGCCTGTCACCACCAAGTGTCCCAATTAGAAAGGTATGCAAATGCGGTTGGATAAAAAAATCATGGTCCTCTTAACGTGGAATCAGACATGCTCACCAAGAGGCAAAAAATAAAATAAAACAAAATAAAAGAAGTTAATTTCTATATTCGGCTTGGTTATGAAAACCATTGTCGCGATTCTCAACACCAGCAAATTCTTAAATTATCCATAACATATGTAAAAAATAAGTTAGCGAGTGTGAGGTCTACCGGGTCACACTCATTGCGAACACCACAATTGATAATGCCCACAGCAAGAAGAGCTCCGGCTACAACATGATTGTCTTGGCTGTACAGATACTTGTCAACTAATGGAAGACCTCCATCAACATCCCATAACATTATAAGCCCCTGATAAGACACATCCAAGCAGATATAAATGTTATAAAATAAAAATGTATCGACGTATACGATGAGTAGCTTGATTATCAAAAACTCAAAATAAGCAGAGTGGAATCTAGAGCGTTACCAAACTTGCTGCAGCACTGGCTTTTCCATGCTCCTTGTTCTTGAATAGCCATCCACCAGCATTACCTCCTGATGAGTCTGTAGCTGGAGCAGTCATTAACTTATCCTACATCACGACATAAGAAGATTAATTCACAAAAAACGTACATGACAGCGATGTCCATGCATGAAGTGTAACACTTGGTAGTCTTTAAATAAAAGCAGTACTGCATAAACCATGCTTGCACGAAAAGTAGCACAAGACAAAGAAAATATTCAACAGCATACCACGCCAAAGCCAGCATTCACAAATCCATTGACAAAAGTGGCAGCCAGGTTTTGACGAGCAGAGTCTACGCTAGCTCCTGCACTGGCACGACCATCCACTAAATGAGCCTGAGACAAGCACCAAAACATGATATAAGTACAAACAGAAAGTATAAGATCATGTTCTATCAACAATAGTCTGCATAAAGAAATAATTAGACCGCAACAACTGTATGCTAACCAAATTCTAGAAGTAACAATTAATTCACGACACGTTTAGCCTCAAACCTAAAATAGACGACCTTAAAGATTTATTTGCAAAACTTGAGTCATAGTGAGCACGTAACAGCTTATGTTTAGACTAATTTATAGCTATACTCAAACGTTAGGTAGTCAAACTCAAGCATAATAAACTAAGGTAAACATAATTATCACAGGATGTCTGCGAACCTTATATAGGTCATCCGGGGTTTTAGGTTCCATGACGTCAAGATCGCGAGCTAGAGTAAGATAGCCCTCGCTCAATTTGCTGTTGCTGATTAGCTCTTGAAGTAGTTCCCGCTGCTCGTCATTATCTATCATTTCATCGTCAAGCTCCATGGAGACGCCCTGAATCAAATCAGCACAAAATGAGATACGATAAAAACCAGGAAATTGAAAGCTCTCCACTGAGAATGAACACAATACTCTTCAGCACAGAGAAGAGAATTCAATTAATGTAAAAATCACGTTAGAAAAACATTCTTAAACTAAATGTCAAAAACAAAAAAATGGAAAAGATTGCGACATGAGTACAATCAGACGCTCACCTGTCTGCCCAAAATGTAGCACAGCTGCTGTTTTTCCAATGGATCTTTGCATTCAGCAAGCGTTTGCTTTACGTACTGAAGCGAACCACCAACACAAACATCAGCAATTGCCACATCCAACAAATAGAAAAAGATATGCTTACTCAGGCTTGTAGCAACTTAATGAGCCACGATGTGAGTAGCTATAATTCAAAAACCTTCACTCCACGAAAGTCCAAAAGCACATAATCATCTTTTAACGACATACCTGTGTATTTCCCATTCTTAAAGCAACTCGCAACGCCTCTGGATATTTGCTGAACTTGCAATATAACTTATAAGCGATTTTTAAAACGGCCATGTCATCTGGTTCTGGTACATAACTGCACCACCATATACGTATTGGTTTATTAAAATCCCATAAAGAGATATCCAAAACGTGTATCCAAAGAACACATTCTATCCACATGAGTGGTAACTGAGAAGACACAATTTCTGCAGCTTACATTTCATCGAAGACTAGATCATACTCTTGGTATAATAATTCATCTATTAAGGGAACAAGACAATGAAAACGTAAATAAAGTAAATACATGAAGTGTTCGATATGAAAAAGCTTGTACCTGGCAAAACTGGTTAAATAAGAACACGTACGCTTATGGTTTGCTTTATCAATGTGTTCCATGAGCATATCAAGCATTTCCACCTGTGCACAATAGCCCATGACCATTTAAGACACCCCTCAATCACCATGCGCAATGAAATTACACAAAAAGCATTACTTGCACCGAGAACAAGCAGAATTTCCAACTCTTACGATGAACTTGAACCAACCTAGGCTTTAAAAAATGCTGCCTATTACAGGTTTAAATTGGTCAAATTGTCAAAGTTTTTACTACACACCTCCATTAGAAGATCCACTGCTTCAGGTTCTGCATTATGCTGCAGAGAAAATCACCAACACCTTGTCAAACATTAACGTAACTTATCCAAACAAACTAAAACAGCGGGGCATGCACTGCTCCTGCAAATCAGAGGCTGGAAAAATCAACTATTTCAAACACCGAAGTGCAACTGCTAATCCCATAATTTACCTTCACGTGGAAAGGGACAATCTGCTTAACCAAATCCATGAGATCATCCACAGGTTGGTCAGCAGCCTGCAAGATTCCCAAACAAGGCTTTCAGCGCAACAAAAAATAAAGTTGTGAACTGTAGGAAGAAAGAAGAAGAAGAACCGACGACGATACGAAAAGAGAATCTCAAGAATTCCTATATGAACAAACGATTTCAACCTAAGCACTAGCGTAGTTTGACATGAATAATAAGACATGTTGCGCCACGATAAATACCTGACGTTGTTGAAACTCATTACCTATTTCTCCAGCTAAGTTTCTGCAGAACAGAAAAGTGTGAATCACCCAAAAATGAACTAGTCTCTTTCCAAAACAGAAAGTTTTATAAAAATAAGGACTAAACCCTACACAGCCGAACCTAAAGTTGATGAATCGGCACAGTAGTTGACATTCACTATATATGCCAATAATGAGTTCGGTGTGACGAGCTGATTTGAACATACCTGACATACTCGTGGCCCCAAGAACCAATGTCTCCAACCGTACCCTGCAATCTGTAGCGCAAGCTTTCCTGCACGTATAATCGTGAAGATCAAACAATCAGGTCACACCAACCATTTGACAAAGTTTACTTGAACACAAATTAAAATATAGGGTGAACTTAAATGCAACTCGTGTCAAGCGAAGCACTTACTCTGTCGCCCTCCTCAGACATAGTAAGGGCAAGAACGGATATAATATCCGCCATGAACCTCTGCGAACAAAAAAGTACATTCAGCAAAAACATGTCGGTTGGACAACTCCATGTAGAAAACTCTGAATGAAAGAAAGCAAAGAAAGTGATGCGAAGGTGCATGCAAGTCAACCAATTGCACGTTTGTCACTTGTACAAGGTGTAGAAACTTACCTTAAGTTCAGATTCTGGCATTACTTCATAGTGTGTCTTCAAGGTCTTGTAGTGAGGTCTGAGGAATTTAAGTGGCTTGGGAACGGAAGTCATGGAGCTTGTAGCTGTCCTGATTTCTTTCCTGAAAAAAAGAATCCTACACTGTAAGACTCTGTCTAACTCACACAACCAAATAGCATTCACGAGCAAGCTCCATTCGTGGCTACAATGCTACCTCTTGTTGAAGAAAGAACGCGGTAACTGGATACTGCGTTAAAGGAAAAAGAAAAGACGTTCACACATTTTCATTACAAAATAAGGATAATATAAAACACAGAAAAGAACAAACTCGACATATTCTGATTCCTGTAGCTAGTACCTCATAGCTTCCAAAGCTGCTCTTTGGATCCCCTCCTCAGCATCCTGAGCTCTTTCCACATATAGTTCCAACTGCTGCTTAAGAGCAAGATCTTCCTCAGACTGCAAAAAAAATTCATTCGTAACGAGAATTGAAATTAGTTTTGAGCTGTAACAAGCTTGAATTAACGGCATTCAGCGTCGCCCACATCGAAGAAGAGTTATAATCCAATGCACGTTAACTGCTGAAACAATGTCAAAAGCCGCCGTCATCACCACATAACATAATGCACAATACTCAATTGAAAATCCGTTCTTAACTTATATCTGCCTTAAGTCAGAATACCAAACAAGTATTAAACCACTCTAGGGTTTTCCAAACACAAAAAACTATTGACCTAATCAATATACACACACTCCCTCGAAACCTAAATAGGTAATAAAAAAGCTGAAAATGTCTCACTACCATGTCCTCCCCGCCAAAAATGCCTCATTAACTACAGGACCTCCAAGAACTGCTACAATTTCATCACCTCGAGCTGAACAATCATTCAAAACTCTACCCAATTCCAGTTCCTACCGCATCTCATCACTCCCGATCAAATGTAGGGTTTCAGCACAGTTCGTGGTCAAAAGTATGCACCACCTAAACTCGCTCACAGCCAGCCTCCTCTCCGCTCAACAAACGCACCGCCATCGAAAGCAAACAGACCACAATCCCCATGCGACCCACGTCACAAAAACACGAAAACTACAAAAACCCACAAATCGAAGAACCGACCAGGAATTAACCAGCCAGCCCCACTCACCAAGTCATCGTCCTTCTTCTTCTCGTCCTTTTTCTTCTTTGAGGCGCCCATGGCAGCGTCCTTCTTGCTCGTCGGCGGCACATCGTCGTGGTCCATGCGCTCCCCTTGAGCTCCACGGTTTTCCATGGGATCTGGCGCCATGTGAAGGAATGGAACTCCCGATCAAACCCAACTAAGGTTGCCTCAATCGAAGTAGCTGCCCAACTTCAATTCCTCCCTCCCTCCCCTGCTTTCGATGTTGTGTGGGAGCTGCTGCATGCGACTATCGGATCCCTTCTTCCTGCTCTGCTCTGCCCTGCCCTTCCGTTCCGTTCCCTCCGCTTCGCCTCGCTGCGATGCGCTGCGAGATGGCTTAGGCTATGGCGTTGGGAGGTGAGGGGCTTTGGCGATGGATGGCCTCATTGATAGTGCATACCCCTACGCTGCGTTGTCTGTTAAGCCCATTCGACGTGCCTCTTCCACGTCCCGGTACCTCGATCCACATCCTCTCTCTCTCTCTCTCTCTCTCTCTCTCTCTTTTGGGCCGTGCTCCTCCTCACGTCCTCAAACCAGGTGTTGGAATGTGGCGCTGGTTGGGGCTTGAGCTCTCAAATCTGTTGGAGGCTTCTCGACATTCTTTGCTTGACCATGTTCTAATTGTTGTTTAGTTCATTTCAGAGGTCAGTAATTAAATTCATAGTCACAATTATTAATTTTATTTAAATTGATTATTTATTTTAAAATACTTATTTTATGAATGATTGGACTTAAGAAATATAATAACATAACTCTTGAAAAATAATCACTATGCTAATATTGTTATTAAAATAATAATGTGGATTTTATTTTATGATTTTGTGAAAGAGCTTCATAAAAATTATATTTTTACGTATTGGAAATATGATACATACATAGTATAAAATTCTTTCCTGAGTAAATTATATGTATTCTTCACATTGTTCATTTTTACATCTCCATTATGCATTTGTGGTTTCTTTTGTCCAACAATATAAATATTCCACTCTTAGAAAATGTCAATATGGATGATACAATATACTTTGAATAAATGTGAAATGTTTTGTTGTTTTTTAATACTAAATGTAAATTTCAAAGCAAAGTACTGTATTCAATTAAAGCAAAGTACTAGATTCAATTAAAGATTCTATTTCTAATTGAATCATACTTGTTTTTATACCAAATAAGAACTGTAGTATAATGCAAACATGTTGTCTGACTTAATATGTAGTGTAGGACTTAATTCCAAAGCAAAGTACAATTCTTGCACTCTATCACAGGAAAAGCTAAACCTTGTATATTGATTGTCGCTTTTGGAGTTCAATTTTTATTACAAAAGGGATTTTATACATTGCTCTAATAGCACAATGAAGTTATATTTGATACATCACTATTATTGACTCTCTTGATAACAGATTTCCAATTTTTTGAAGTAATTTGGGTTGAGATGGTACAAGACTGGAGAGAGAATAGGGGATAAAAGATGTGTTGTAGAAATGGGATAAAAAGCAAAACTAGACATACAAAACAAATCTCTTAAATAGACAATTAGACAAAATTAGAGGCTGACTTGCCCTACTTTTAACCACCATGCCAACTTTAAAGAAGATTATGATCATTTATTTTGTAGAGACTTTTATTGATTTTAATCTTTCTACAAGGCAATGTCATAATTTCATATTTTTCCTCTTGACTGATACTTTGCCAATTGTTGTGGATGAAGAAAAGAAGGAAAGTGTAGATAATTCTATAACTTATCATTGTTTAAAGAAGTTGAGGCTAATGATGGTTGATTTCACCATTGTGGGAGACTTTTTCTAAAATATGTAACTAAGCAATATACCAATGTCATTATGTTTGATATGTTTAATTACAAAAAACACATAATGGTTGGTTTCAATATGCTCTTTCTAAAACAAAGCAAGAATCTTCTATGTTAATATATTTAACAGATATTCGTAATATAATAAACTTGTTGTGGGTGACACTAATTACAAAGTGATAATACTTAAAGGTTATAAACAATGTCATTAATGCATAAGTACTTGGTTATAAAAATGAAGATGGATTAATTATATTTTTATAATCCTACAGCCATCTTTACTTGGAATATTACAAATTAATAATTTATCAAACTTACATGAAAAAACTCTTTATAATATGCTTTGCTTTTTTTCCTTTCAAACTTTAGAATTGAATGATTGCATTCAAATCCGCTAATGAAAACCCTAATCTCCAGCAACACCGACACGGTCACCAGTGCGAGCAAACCCCGCTAAAACAATTAGGGTTAGTGCTAGGGTTCGGTCACGCTTGCTTGGAGGGGTTGGTGACCCGCCCGGAAAAGACGATGGCGTTGCTGACCTCTTCCATGATGAGGAACATGAAGGGCCTGTCTGCGACGAAGGTATCGGGCTCTCTTGTGTACATTATCATGGACATGAGCGAGATCTCCACGGTGGTCACCGCCGCTGCCTCCGTCCCCACCTCATTCACGTCCACGAAGGCCTTGTGACGAACACTGGAGATGCCCAGAGGCCCATCATCGCTAGTCATGTCGCTGAAATCGCCTTCCGGTGTGAAGGGCAGCTCCATTCCCATGGCCTTTAAGGGTTCCGATACCTCCAGCCCGTATGTGACTTTGAACTTGGGGAGTAGGAATCGTTTGAGCGGTACTTTGTTGCCGAAGTTGGTGAGGTCGGAGGTGAGAGACTGTGGGGTGAGGCTCGATTCCAGGTCGAGGAGGGTGATGTTTTCCTGTGGGAGGAGGATGAACATGGCGAAGCTGCGTTGGGTTGTTTCCTTGAGGGCGTAAGGGAGGCGGACGACCTTGTGTGTGGGGAAGGATTTGAAGAACTGGTTTTTGTGAGATCTCATCATGGGGACTTGAATGGTGGTTCCGTCTGCTAGATGGAAGTCGTCGTCTTTGGTCATGGAACTGTCGAAGCGGTTCTCCCAGCTGCCATTGAAGTATATCGCGTTGGCAAGGATCGCTTTTGTGTGTGCCGACACGGCATCTGGAGGGAGGACGTTGGCAATCTTGCCATGTGTCTTGTTCTCAGCCCATTTGTTTATTGTCTCCCGGGCTTCGGTTGACTACACAAATGGAGTGTTACGAAGCTTTTGTAGCATATCTCTCGAAAATTCCAGAAATTCTACAGCGATTAGAGGTTTTCCTCAATGTATATAGGGGCATTCGACACATCCATAGAAGTGAAAGACTTGAAAGAGCAATGGGTGTCACCTTATGGCGGAAATCCACTGATGCAGCCTCGGCACCATAAGAGTCCTTGAGCAATTTCTGGAAGGTGGGCTTTAGCTGGATGGTTTGATCGACCCAGATGCGATTCGCACAAGACAATTCTAGACCCTGTTCTCCATCAGATTGCAGTATGTTTGCCAAATGCGTCGAGAACTTGTGCATCAAGTCTCCATGCGGGATCTTGATGGAGTTTGCAATTTGTTCTAGGGTGGGTCCTTTCGCTCCAGCTGCCACCATTGACAGCGCGAGGCTGATACTGATTGGCGAAAGCACGGTATTCTCCTCTGGAGCTCGATTAGCTATTTTCCTGTACAGGTCTAGCACAAACTCCGTTTGTTGTCTTGCTAGCGCTCCCACGTCCATCTCAGCGGGCTCCGTGATCCCGTGACACTGAATTAGGTGCTTGATGATACACACGTCTATCCGCACTGCTGTTCAGTACTAATGAGATCCAGGCTCAACTACAAATAACAACCTGCATGACAGATACGAGCAGAACAGAATCGAAAGATCTGAAAGAATTGCACAACAATCTACGGACACAATCTGGACTGCAATTGTACTGATTACCTCACCTGTTTCCCAAGTTGAGCCAGTCGAATCAGATCTCTGTCAACACAAAGCTGATCCTGTGTGCTAATCTTGATACACAGAAATTGCGAGGTCCTTCGGCAGTAGGAGGTGAGAATGCATAATGATGGAGACTGTGACAAACTATCTTCACGTGTGGAAACTCTTAGATCTCTGCGAATGTGATGGAACGACCAACTAGTTGAATTCAAATACTTGAGCACAAGGTGCCGCGTGCCCCTCCACGCGATTCAGCACAATAACTCGTCTGGCAGATTAAAGAAGCAAACACGAATTCCAATTTCAGGATGAGCGCATGTATCTCGCTGAGCTATTTAGAAATATAATTTCCACGCCCTGCTGGAATGTAGCGAGACTCTTGTGGATCGAATGAGGACAAATGACAAAGCATATGTTTGGAATAAGTCAGACAACGAACCAGCTCTTCAACCAGCCTATCCACCTGTCTTGACGTTGCCTGTTTCTACTGCGGTCCCTGGAAGACGATCCAGCTGCCAATCGATTCTCGATGGGGAATCCCATGTCAGCTACAATATTGACCTTTCTATCGGTTTGTAGGATTATCAAGACTGGTGTCAGGTGGAATATGAAATGAATTGGAAGTTTAAGAGAGACGTGGGCAGCAGAAAATAGATGAGCTATGGGAACCACAATACATTATCATATTTATTGAGCATTCTTGGATACAGGTTCATTACGGGTAATGGCTATTGTAGGAATCTGTTGATCGCAGGAACTATATTTAAAAATGTACAAATAGACCAATAACTGCTTCAGCAACTCACTGCGTATCTACAGCTTTCATATTAGCATCTGTAGTTACATTATAAGTTGAAAGTTTGTAAAATTGTCACTGGAGCAAAATAAATCCTGCCAAAAAATCTAGAGGCTTTTTTATGTATCGAAATAGCATACGCAAGTGCCGAAGTGAATACAACTTGAGCGAGTCTGTTGCTTCAGAAACTTTGAATGTGTAGCACTAACACAAGGACAAGGGAAAATTTCCTAGGAAATTGCTAAAAATATACTACTCCATAAGCTTGTATCGTTTTTCTTGCATGCCTGTCATTCCCATTTTAATCTCGATAATGGTATGTAATGGCACCTGCATCCAATTAATTGGAAATTCGTCCTTAGTACCAAAACCTAACACTGACAGCGATTGAGCAATATTGCCTTCGCTAACCAGATGCTCCTTGTCGGTGTTGGCAATTATACATATATTAAGAATACAACAACAACAATAATAATAATAATAATAATAATCATAATTGTAATAATAAATTCAGGGGGCACAGACCTGAATATGGGGAACCTCTTTGAGTGGTTTGTCCATAAAGTATGCATACAATGAGCGGAGAATTGCCTGATGGAAAAGTATCACACGATACGAAAACATGGTCATTGCAGGTCGACTATTCCAAACCAAAATTCATCAAGTTTCCACGACAGTTCATCAACAGGATCTACAGACTCTTGTAACTCAAACATATAGACGGTTAACATGGAATCCTGAATTCCACCAAGGGGCCCTACTCAAATAGCACAAGATTTTAACAGAAAATAGTTTGGGTTATTTACTCGCTGCAGAACTTCTCGGTGGAAATGGAGCATTACAAAACTCCAATCAATCGAAGTGGATTTGGACGACTGAAACTACATGGGTGTTTGTACAAAAGGACTATTTATGTTGATGTGACCTTCAGACACATCTGTTATATCTGTTTGAGATATCCGACAAGCTGCCTTTTCTTGTGCCAAATCAATTATGTGGCGAGACTCACCATGATATGCAACATAGAAAAGTACAAAATCCAACACGAGGCATATAGTACTTACTTGATGTGCAATTACCACCACTGGTGAGCGCTGCCTCTCAAGCTCTACAATGACAGGCTCCACCCTACAAGAATCGAATAATAATCATCAAACACTTCAAAGCTTTGCATGAACCAGCTCAGAGTGAAATCATCGTTAACGTTTAAGAACTAAATTCAGTTGCAGATGTGAGGTATACCTTTGGATGACGTCCAAGTAAGATTCACCACGAGGATAGCGATAGCGGAGTTTATCTGCCTTACGTGCTCTGAAACAAAGATAATTTCAAAAACATCAACCTATCGCCAAACACAAAAATACATTCTCCACTTCTTGAAGAAGTAGCGAATGGGTACTGTTTAGGTGCTGCTAGATCCACAACTCAGATCATTGTAGTGTTCAGCAACTGTACAATTGTCCAAAAAATGATACTTACGCATATTCTTCAGGCATAGATTCTTTGATCTCTTCGTACGTCATTCCATCGCAGACTCCTGCATTGATTTCGTCTAGCGCCTTCCATTCAACCTGCAGCCTTATGATATTCCAATAAGAGCTGGTTCCCTCACTAGAGATTAAAATTGAATTGCATAATTTATACGACCTTGTCAATGATTATTATGCAGCATCTATGGATAACAATTCATGAGGTGTCTTTCATTTGTTTCTAAGTGTCATAGCTTAATTGCGTCTTTTGGGGCTCATTGAGTTACACTGATTTGTCCATAAAAACTTACTTTTGAAAACCAATCGATGTGCCTTGCAGTGATACCTGTCCTTCTCAAAGTACTTGTCCAGATCTGCAAGATAGCGTAAAAGCAGTGTTTATCAGACAAGTTGCTACCAAATACTCATACAAAAATAGTGGAACCTGTTAAACTAGTTGAAAGTTAAGTTTATTACAGAAGCTGTCGTCTCGTTCTTCAGCCGCCTCTTCACAAATTCAGCCAGCTTGAGTGCATACTTTTCTCCAGCTTCACTGCACATAGGAAGCATTATTGTATGATTACGAAGTGAGTTATCTTGAAATTTTGCGAACGACAACAGCTCTCCCAATACCACCTCGCAAGTTTCAATTTCGTCCTCAAAGAGGCTATAAATAATAGGCTAGATCATTAGCCTTATGAAGATTATCTATATATATATATATACACATGTACATGAACATTAAATAGAGTTACCCTCGTATTAAGAGTGGTTGATTTCCTTGTTGATTCAGATTGCTTATAATTTAGCCCACGATGTGATCGAGAAGCAGATCCACAATTTGAGGGCAATCACGACATCGGTGCGCAATTAATACTATTCTAGGAAAGAGACGCGCTAAGTAAAAACATTACCTAAGTACGGGGTCTCCACCAATACGGCCCTTCACATTATCCTGGCTTTCACCATGCCGAGTGAGTAATATCGGCCGTGGTGTGATGTGGGTGTTGACCTACACACATACACTTGTTAATAATCTCAAAGACATAGCTTCTGCGGCTCCGTATGGCTTGGACTACAACGATGTTATGATTATTGAAATGACCTAGCCAAGGAGATCTCTTACCAAGAAAAACACGATACGGCCCGGAAGGTATCCACTAATATTACTCACCTACAGACCCACATTACAATCAGATCGATGTCCACAAATTCCACACAGGGTATCAAAAACACACATCAATAATGAATAATTTTCTCAATTTCAGAGCATACTGATAATCAATGATTCTCTGGAAATGTACAAAGAAAGCGAAAGGTACATGGAAAACTTATGCTTACTTGCATATGACCGCCCTGCCCACTGACCATGTCAATCAACTTAATATAGGATCCCTCAGTCACTGGTTCATACATCTGCAACAGATCGAAGATTAGAATCAATTAACTGGTGCGGAGGTCTGAAACACATCCTTAGAAGCATCTCCTGGAAAAACTTCTTAGGACCGACAAGAGATAATAGATGTCAAGAAACTTACTTTTTCATAGTGGTCAAGTCGAGTCCTGAAGTCCTCAAGGGCAGTTTCGTAATCGGGCCTATTGTGACAATCATCCGTAACAATCATTGATCACAATCAACAACTATCAATCAAGTTGGTCGTGCAGGTTAAGAATAACAGGTGCAGTTTCAAGAAAATATTATTCCAGAAAGTCATTCCTACACCAGTGAATACTATCCAATGCAACAGCAAAACAGTTGCAGTAACTCACACATCAGCGTAATCAGGGCTTCGAGTCGTCTTCAATTGAATGTTGGTCTCAATCACAGATCGATCATTACATAATATCTCCAAGAAGATAATCTACACAATATGCCCACACAATTTCGTGAAAGAGGAACAACAGCATATGCTTCTGATCCTATATGATTAGATGGTGAAGGCGTAGGAGCGGTGGATACCGTGAATAGCAAGTTATACGCAACATTAGTTCCCTTTTTCATTATAAGTATCGATTCAGCGACAACAGGTTTCACGAATCGAGTTGATAGATGAAGCAAGACCGTTGTCCAAATACTTTCTTTCTATGAAGATGTGGAGACAAGATGATAACAAATGCATATGCTGGTAAATAGAATGAAGCTCACTTCATGCAGTAGAGACTCAATCAAACCAGATATACATCTAAGAGGGAACGAATTATAGTCTCCACCTTGCATTTGCCCTCAGCCAACTTCGTCAGCAAATCCCGACGAGCTTTCGTGCTGTTAGTAGCATCAAAGACACCAATCTGCATTAATCCGCAAAGAAAATAAATTCTCTCAGAAAAATGCGCACATCAAACTGGAGCCAACTGATTTTCAATAGGAGTTGATCAAAAGAGCTTTTTGAGATTGATTGTGAAATAACATAAAAACCATACGAATCTAGGATAACCTAAAATTGTAAAAAAAAAAAAAAAAAAAAAAAAAAAGATCAAACGACCCAAATTAAAAGTAAAAACATCATATCCAAAGACACCAACACTTAGAAGACAAGAGATGCAAGATTTAGATATCAACTAACTGGTACAAGCTTTCGAGAATAAAATGCCGAAATTACCTGTCCTCCTTCATCCATCCAGGCAAGCATATCCTCCATGGCGAGCACTGCAACCTTTACATATCAAATTATTTTAGCTTAGCAACAAGAATTCCAAGACAAGAAGCTACTGCTTTATCCTCTCACAAAAGTGAGGTTCAGTCAACGTTATCTTCCTAAGTGACATTCGTAGACCCTATCACAAAAAATGCTATTTAACCATGCACCCCTCAATCGTGATCAATAAAAATTCATATCCTAGCATAGATATTATCAACACATAAACTGCAGTCATATCAACGAAATTCTCAATGATAACATTCGAATATCAAAGAACTTCGAGTATACAGCAATGATTATACCTCGTTTCTTGCTTCTATACCCTCCTGGTTATCACCGCGAAAAAAGTCGGCAGTCTGGCATGTCCCAAGCCATTAATAGATTAATTATGAAATTACTAATTTGACCACAAATTAACTTTTGAAATTTTTGAATGATGAAGGAACAATATTTAATGGACGAGGTCGAGTTGGAGAATGGTGTAGTCAATAGAAGGCTAAGTTTGCTCTGTCCCTTAAAGTGGTTCCCACCTGGTTACGCCCAAGCTTCAAACGTCGATACTAGTTCATCACAACAAAGAAGTCAGTCAAATAGCCCTGCGTAACATTTAGAGGACCGGAAACAACACCCTTCATAAGATCCAACATTGCGAATCCTATAGGAAAAGCCCGTGGCTAAATGCTAGAATAAGCTTACTTTTCCAACATTGAAGTGTTTAGTATCATGGCCTAGCCACCTAAGATATCTCGTCAATTTTGCTGCCGTAAACGTCTTGCCTCGTGCAGGTAACCCAACCTGAACCCAAAGCAACCAGTAGGATGAGTTATTTGAAAGAAATTCCAATATTTTCACATGAAAAATCGACGCTTCTGCTTCAATTCGTTTAATCGCGCTGAAACGTACAAGTGATAATGCCAAACTATGCTTCATAACTTTCAAATTGTACTCATTAATGTCGACTTCCTTTCTGAACCAACAAAAAAAAAAAAAAAAAACAGAAAAAACAAAACAAAACAAAACAAAACAAAACAAAAAAAACAAAACAAACAAAAAATCCTTTACATGGTTCGGAGCATGAGCAATAACACGGAAAGCTGATGTCTGGAAGTTTTCTAAAGATAAGTTACATACCAGTGAATTTCAATAAATAAGAAATTATAAAAGCTGAGTCATTTTACTACCGATCTGATCCTTCAAAATTGCAAGAGGGAACTGGGAAGGCCAGAAAAACTGAGGATATACCAGAATGATTGCTAATTGACGACGTTCTTTCGCCATCAGACGATCAGCAACAGCTGCAGCGGCAACAGCACCGGCAGCTTCAGGCATTGTCTGCACACGTCATCTTTTACCATCATCATCCAGTCCAATGGATGCATGTACAATAGTCACTATGTTAAAGATTTATCACAGCATGTGAATATGAACAATCACAGTGTGTATTATTCAAACAATAACAGATGTAAGAATCAAAAATTTTGTCAAAGTCAGAAACGACTTTACCTAACTTTCACGCGGTGGAACCAGTAAATACCTAGGACACGCTACTGTTTACTTTATAAGAAAAAGCATCTACAATTCATAAGACATACCGTCCAGTATAGTTTCCGTTTGCAAAGAAAAAGAGGTTACGCAAGATGCACTACGAAAGATAGGTTTTAACAATTACTCACATTTCGAATAGACATTTACCAGGAGCAATATCCACAACATTAATTAGCTTTAAATATTCAACAAATGCCAAATAACGAGATTGATGTTTCTACTCGAATTCTCAATCACATAATTTATTTTCATTACATAAGAAGCGTCGAAGTAAAATGTGTACCTTAATCACATTGTCCAAATGTACATCGACATTCCTCACACTATCATGACCAGCAGGATTCGAAGGTAGGCGCACAGTGTTCTCAGCACAAAGAATTCCGTTTGATGGAGTTTGGGTTGATTGTTTGAAAGCTTCAACATCAGTTTCGTGAGATGTGGTCTCCTGCACATCCAGGTCCTGTATAGAATTGGTACATGTGCACCATATACTTGGTCACTTCCTCGACGGCACATGCCACAGATGATTCAGCAGGTTTTAAGATTTGAAGGGCACGTACAAAAGATTTAGAATATTGGGAAGATTTCCAGGAGAAAAGCTAACTAGATTACCCAGAATGATGATGATCAGAAAATAGTGAAACAAGAACAGAAGAACATGCAGCAAACAAAGGCACAACACATTGAATAAGCACGCACCTTAACAGGAATACTTCCATCTTTGCAAATATTTGTACTTTTTATTTCTGCAATATTTAGGTCACATGGAACGCTCGTATCGCCACCCCGGATTCTGTAAAGTCGACTTTCTCCATAAAATGGGGCAGGAACAGGACAACTCTTCTGGTGCAACTCACTGGAATCCGATGCTGGGTTTGGAGGGTTCTGCAATGCAGAACTTGCTATCGCGTCTGGCGTAGGCACCTCATAATGTTCTAAATCTAGCTCAAGTGCCTGTGTTTCATTTTTTAGTTCTGTTGCAACTACAGGATGTACACCGTCCTGTATAACGTCCAGAACACCCGCGATCGTGCTACCGTGAGATTGTAAGTTCTTTTTAAGAGAACTCCAACTAGCAGCCAGAGCAAATGGAGACACGGGGTCGGCTTGAATACTAACAGGCAGTTGCAGTAATTGTATTCCACCCTTCGTGGGGACTTTAAATTGCGCTGTAGGCCCAGCCTCTCCTTCCATCGTGCCAGCCTGAAGCATCCTATTTGCTCCCTCTTCAAGTATGCACAGATCTCTATCACCCTCCCCTTTAAGAAGAAATTTAAAATCCAGCAAACCTGCAAAATATGGTGCAGGAATTGTAAGAGAGGGTTCATTAATTTTACCCGGATTACATGCCCCACTGTTCAAAATCACGACACTGCATGGAAGAAACAGAGCTGCTGACATCTGCAAGTCTAGGTAACATAATCCAAAGTAGACAAGAGACGCATACAACCACATCATGAGCCGAACATAAAGCATACAAATCGTGTAGTATATCTGAAACGCATCCACAGGAAACAAATTAGATACCACCAGCAAATTAAATTGAAATGTGCTGAAAAACACCATGATTAGCAGGTGCAACGAAACTAAGCTCCCAAACAGTCGTTGATTCACGCTCCAGTGCAATCTGGACCAAAAGCACATAGCTCAGCTTGTGGACAAAACTGAAAATTTTGCGTTTTAAAGTTTCGTTTTCTTCGCAACGACGAATACGCATCTTAATACGAAAGCATAGTTAGAATAAACTCACACATTCGTCATTCACTATCAAGATGGATACGTAAAACACCTGATCATTAAAAGCAAGAATATCAAGTACTTGCTATACCAGGTCGATTTTCTCTAAAGTTGCACCCGACCTTGAGATATCTACTTCATGTAGATAGCACCCCAAAACAAGTGTGTCAATACAGGGCAGACTTACAGCTTTTGTCTCGTCCCAACAGCCTATCATTGGCAGTGAGCCAACAATATGAGGAACAAGATTTAGTGGTAAGGGTTGGTAATCCAGTTGATTCATTTTCAGAGCTACGAACAGTTGGCATCCTGAGAGATCGCTTGAAGTCACGAATTGAGCTGATTCTTCCTTACCCATGATGTCCGATGTTTCCAAATAGAGATCGCTACATTCAATATGATGATCAATGAAATTGGATATTCTCTTGGAAGAGTTCCACCTGATAGGACTAATTCTGGCGCAATTGCCACCCAGATGACAATCTCAATGTCTTAAGAAAAGTGCATTGATGAAGTCGTTCTTCATCTGAATCCGCTCGCGATTGTAATCCGCCAGACCAGGAGTCAACTTACATTACTCACGCCCTGAAATTCAGAGCAACCTACAGAGTCAACACTCATGTTCAAAAAGCAACGAATTTATGTTTTACTTTGTGCTGTGAGCACAAAGGTTGACAGATTAGTAATCGCCGTTGTACCAGACGGAGACTGTCAGATATCCTGGTAATACATGACCTTACAGTGAGCCCGTTCCGCAACCAAGAATAACATCGGAGGAAGAAATTTCATTTACAGTACGAGTTCCTTTCCCTATCTGCTTGCAAAGAAGCAACTCAATGCAGTTCGATAACATGAAAAATTTGTGTTCATAACAACATTCTAAGCGATCGGGCATAAGGATCCTATTCCGAAACCTCAAAATTTTGCAGTATACGTGACGGCCGCCATAGCCACAAAACGTGCAAGTGCCAAATCAAACGCTACCCATTGCAACCACTCCCATTCTCCACGTTTTCCTCTGGGTACGTCTCCGCACGAACACTGCACGTGGACGCCAAATTTCGAGCAATCCGTTGCCAGAGATGATAACAACATAAACTAAACCAAGGACGACATAACTGATCAAACAACTCCTTGTTACCAGCAGTCCTGCTCCTCACTATCTCTACCTTGAATTCGCTACGCTCCTGTACTGGCTCACGCTCCGATGGCGCAAAAAACAGTTGTAGAGGATCTAAAACATACTCAGCTCGACTTAACAAACACGACAGAAAGCTGCACAACACGGGATCACAAACCATCGAAAGCTCAAACCTCATTAAACTTCAATGTCTACAACAAAAACATGCAAGAAATTGAGCCAGAAGTGCTTTTTCAAGGCCAGGATCGCGCTCCGATCAGGCGTGAGCTGCGGTTGTAATGCAACCATGTCCAAAAGCACGCACGCACTCACTCACTCACTCATTTGCAACCATTGCACCAAACACGACGCAAGAAGATTCAAAGTGCGCAAATGCAAAGATTATCTATACAGAACCAAAATAATTACGAAAAATTCCGGTCAACAACAACAACAGTACCTGAATGATGCCAAGTAAAGAAGGCGATCCCCTCGGGATTCAGCTTCACAAAATTTGCGTTACAAAATGCACCAAGCATGGATCGTGCTGTGTGTGAGCTCTTTCTTCAAGGGACGCCGCCGTGCCCGTCGGTCTCCAAAAACGTTCGTCCCAATTTTGGACGATCGTTGTGCACCGTCTCGTCCATGAGAACGAAACGTGGGCGTTTGGACGAGAAACAGCGAAATGACACGGATAAGAAGGTGCGTCGGCCACCTCAGTGGCAGATAAGGGCAACTGAACTTGACGTCCCTTGTTCCTTTTCCCACTTCCCGACAAAACATTCTTGCTAATTTTGGGCTTGTTTATCACGTGCGTTCACACTGCGGTGCACCATGCGTGCTGGAGCTTACCTTGTTTGCTATGTTTGTTCTGTTTATATCCATGAAATCCCAGAAGATATATTATTACATTTTAAATCATCATATATATGGAAGAGTTAAAGATGAATACATTTTTATTTTTGAAGCACCTTTCCTGAATCATTAAAAATAATAAAATAATAAAATTTGAGGATATTTATAATTCAAATATTTTTCCTTTTTCTTTCTATTCTATATTTTATAAAAATCAAAAAGCATGAAAAAATTGTAAAATTTATATTCTTAAATTTTACTTTTAAAAAAGTTTTTTTTTGTGCTAAAGTTTGCTAAGGAATTGCAAAAAACAAATGAAATTTGGAATTTTTTCAATGAAACCGTATATATACACACACACACACATATATATATGAAATCTGAAAAAAACATTCCTTAAAAACACTCTTACAACATTAATGCTTAAGGCTAAATTTACATTGATAATTTCGAATATGCTTGTAAAAAAATTAAAAATTACATTATATATTCTATGTAAGCAACAAATTGTATGATTTGTTTTCTATTAATGTACAAGAAATGCCAGTTCCTACATATGTTCGTTGAAAATTCTTTGTCAGAAAATATATTTATTGTAAAATAAATATATACAGATATATATAGAAGCAATCTATTTTTGCAAAAACTATTCTTTGTCAATTGAAATGCTTCCATAAGATTTGGTCATTGTCAAGATGGCTTTGCTTGTTGACTATATAGATTCAATGAAATAAATTTATCTTTAAACAAAAAGTATAGAGCAACCTTCATACAAGAAATTTGGTCTCAAGGAATTTAATAAGATATGAACAAATTAGTTGGAAAGCCTTAAAAAAAAGTTTGACAAACATCCCAACACATGAGAAATCTTTATTTTTTATTTTTAAATGAAACAAATTTTGAATGACAACAACTCAACTTGTTCTAGAATATATTAGGTGACGAACTAGAACTTTAGAGCACCACAATGTGGCTTTATAATACATGAAAGCATAGTTGAGTAGATAGCAATAGCCTTAACTCTGCCCACATGCATACCAAAAGTTATGTTGTCTTTTTATACCTTGTTTCATCTTATCAATGAATTGGATATACTTTGTTTTTAAGTCAATATATATATATATATATATATATATTATTCATGGTTAATATTAGTAAATTAATTTATAATTATTTTAGATAAAAATGATGTATTTATATATATATATATATATATAATCTTTTATTTTATTTTCTTGATTAAAAAGTAAAATTGCAAGTCATTAAAAAATATTAAAAAAATATATCATGGAGAAATTTATCACAAAGAAACAACAGTTTTAATCTCAAAACATTTCTTTATAATGTCAAAAAAAATATTACTAATGTTTTTCTATAAATATGGAAAATTTTAAATGATAATGTTTGACATTTTCTTGCTTATGATTAAAAGATTTGTCTTGTTTTCTTTTATTTAATATTTTTGAACTGTAATTTATTTCAGGATATTGAAAGTAATTTGAAAATTTAATCTATTTCTTTCTTGAATCATTCATGGAATTTTTGTACAAAAAAACTAGGTATAAACAAATAAGATATCAGATTATCTTACTAATAGTTGATCAATAAAGCTTTCCTATAAATGACGATTTATATGTATGTGTATGTATATATATATATATATATATATATATAACATCCAAGTTTTCCATATTATCATTCAATTTTTAAGTGTGTTAAACTTGAATTTATTTTTAGTTTTGAAGCCTGCATCTTTTTTAGGCACCACAAAGGTCTTTTTGTCTCAACATACATTTGATAATCCTCAATGTTTTTTAAATTTTTTGTATGAGATGCAATAATCAAAATAATACAGTAACATGCTCTAACAAACTATAGGATGATTTGTAACATAAGAAGTACAAGAAATAAATATTCATATTAATGAATGAATGAGGTTCTGGTGCTTTGTGAAAACGTTTGTTGAATGCATAGCAAAAATGTGATGCAACATTTTATTTTATTTTATTTTATTTTTGAAAAAATCACTACAAAGATAATCTTGCACCCAATTGCAACCACAATGCCAAAACTAAAATTATTTCTTTCCACAAAAAGAATCACTGTTCAAAATTCCTAATGAATCAAAACAAAATCTCGTTTTCAAAGCATCTTCTTAACTTTTTGAAATGATTCACCTATTCACACATGGATTTTGTGAGAACTTCTTTTCATCCAGTTAATGTATCACACCCACATGTACACTTGTGTTTGAAAAAAATACTTTATCAAATCTCATGTACAATAGCGCAAATCTCCATGAGAAGTAATACAATATCATGGATTTTATTATTATTATTATTATTGTTTTTGAAAGGTTGTGTAACCTAACCCTTCCCACCACAACAGGAATAGATCCACTAAAATGTCGATTCCTTATAACCGCCAGCCCCAAACCAATGAACCCCAAACCCGTCAGTCCCTCATTCCACGATCCCCAAAACCGCGACTCTTAAACCGTGAAACTTTGAACCGTGGACCTTAATACCGAGAACGTGCTCTTCTTCCGCGTCGTGGATTCGGATATGGTGTCGCCGTTGATGAGCCCGATCTGGAAGCAAGCTTGCGGGATCTTCTCCGTGAGCCGATGATCGATCGTTGCCGATAGTGATGACGAGGAGCGCATGGAGGAGTCGACGAGCACAACTGGAAGATTACAACAACAAACAACATCAAACAGTGCCCCTAGCAACGAACGATCGGCGGCTCCAGGTGTTCAGATCCCATTCCGAGACTGTCCTTGTACCCACCTCGGAATTGCGCCGACTGCCGCAAATTCCTGCCAATCGAGGCTCCATGGATTTCTCATCATGTCAAACATGCGTCAGGGTCCCACTTCGAATGTCCCTCATTTTGCTGTCAGTTTCTGCCCTTCGTTGCTAGAGTTGGGGACTTCGGAGCTTGTCTGAGCGAAAATCGCGCATCGACAGCATCGTTATTGTTGATGAGGGGTTTCCTCGGTGTTAGAACGATGGTCAGCACCTTTCCCTGCTTGCTTGTTCCAATCTGTGGCCCTCTGTACGTTGGGTGCGTCGCCGCGCATCTTGTCCGCGATCTCTGATCTATTCATTTAGCATCCGAAACATTCCCAATTTAATGCATCCGATCCATTTCGCTCTGCCAGCTCCACTCTCGGAGTCAAGTTTAGTAACTGCTGTGAGGATCTCTCCGTGAGCGTCTCATCTGGGCACAACTCTCCAGCTATGGCTATGATTGGTGTGTTCACATCGCAACATCACACGTCAGCTTTAATGCCGCAGCTCTTGTTTCGAACCGTGGAGGATTTTTCATCGCTAAGCATATGCAATGGAAAGACACCTGCACCTCGCACCCAGAATTGAAGTGTGCATACTAGAAGTCTGCTAACTGCTATTTGTGGATTAAGAGAGAAAGGTTGCCTACATGGAGTAGTCTCAACGTGAATGCTGATGAATGCCGAAAATTGCAGTTAAACAATGGCAGCCAAGACGCCTCAAAGTCAATCGGTTTCAACGTCCAAGGCGATTCATGACAAGAACCCTGTTCATAGCGGTTTCCGTAAACCTTTAAACGGTGAACCAACTTCAAGACTGGCTAAAATCAACGAACTTGCGACAAACTCCCCCTGATGATAACCTGTCTGCATGTTAGTAAGTTTCAACAAGCCTTGCCGTTGTAGAATTCAAGTCTAGCCAGTATCCGTATCTCCATGCAGGCAACCTCCGTATCTAAGCGCTTGGGCCGACACGCCGCGGGGATGGAGATCAGGGGCTGGAAATGTAGATTCAATGAGCATCAAGTTCGTTCATGGCCTGTTCAGATTAACTGGTCATGACATGCAATGACAGAAATAAGACAGAGTGCAGCAGGCCGATTTTCAGTTGTACTTGGATCTACTCCTGACATTGGGAATCGTTTGGTTGATACACTGTGCGAGATGCGTAGTATCCAATACGGATCTTCTTTTGGCAAATTGTTATTGCACATCAACTTTCAGTCCAAGTTCCTTTGCACGCAAGAAAGTAGAGCTTGTGGATTCTATGGTACAATCACCTCCAAAAAATACCCAACAGCTTTCAATATTGATGTTTTCTAAGAAAACATTGGTGCTTTAAAGGCTGTCGGTTCACGTCGACACCTTGGATGAGAGAGTTCGAAGTGACAGCAGTACTGGTACTAAGCTAATCTCTCGTTTAACATGAATCGATGCAAATCGGAGTAACGATTTACTTGTGAGTTCATTCAGTGTGTAAATCTTTAAGTTTGCCAGTTGGTCGGAGGCGGTTTAGAGTTTCAACCCAATAATGTACCAACATTTCCTTTCAGATACATGAATGAACTTGATAATCAAGCAAATATAATCTCATAGAGCACTGCTTTTCCGGCTCTGGTAAATGTGAACTCATGTACGAGGGCCTAGCAAGAGGAACTGGCACTATGTCTCTTTTTTTCATGACTTCCTTGCCAAAGGTCACCATGTTGGGGATTCTTTCCAGAAAAAATAAACACGTTGTTTTTTTTTTTTTTTGGTAGCTGCAGGGAATTGTATTTGAAACGCATCCATTGACTAC